TATCTATCAAGTTATAGGTTGGAGATTGTAAAGCCCAAAATTTAACATATTTTCTATAAGTGTATATACCTATATAGATTTGTCTTTTCAAAACAATATGTCTTTCTTTTGACGAAACAACCCCGGTCGATTTCATGTTTCAATGAAATGTACTTTAAGGCATAAAATAAAGACATATTCAAGGTCATTATTTACCTTAATTACAAGGCAAACTTGCAGTTTGTTAAGACATTTAAATGTTACAGTAATTCATTTGAGAATAAGTCTTGTTGACGATTTCAATTTTCCTGTTCAACTTTAATTTTTTTTTAAAAACTTGACATGATAAATGGAAAACAATTCAAATGAGAAAACGATAATTATATATAAACAAATATGCATTTTAGCAACAAACGACAATCACTGATTTACAGGCTCCTGATTTCTGACAATGTGATGGGGTTAAATATATTTGCGGAAGGCAAAGCTTTCCCTTACCCGAGACAGTGGTGTAACAGCATAACATAAGTACACAGTACAAAAATCAATTTGAAAGGGCTAAACTCATCATATCGACACAAAGCACACAAAATCATCTAACAAAAAGACTTAAATTACATGTACCGATATGAGATTATTCGCAGTTACTGTTAAAACTTGTTCAAAGACAAATCAGCGACTTTCAGTAACTGAAAGCTGGTTCAAAGCCAATACCAAATAATAAAAAAGTTGGACATCAAGATTTACAATTTAGAAAAATGTTTGTTTTTTAATATGATGCGTCCGATGAGCTTTTCTGTATTTGTCTTCATCGGGAATTCTCTAACCCCAAAAAAAATTAAATTACAAAGGATGTATAAATATTTGAAAACGTGTACCTTACAGCTCTTTTCATAATGCTAGCAAGTTAACACTACAGAAGTCTAAAAGTCTGAAAAGACCAGTTTTTGTCTTCATTTGCATAAACTTTTACTCGACATTCTCCAAAAGTATGACTTGTGTCTTGATTTTTCTTGACAAATTCTCATTTATATTAAATTTGTATGAAATTTACTCGACATATTCTCGACATTCTGAATATGGTCTTAAAATTTCTTGACAAATTCTTGACATTTGAATACTGTCTTGAAATTTCTCGATATATTCTCGACATTCTTATTTTTTCTCAGTATGGCTTGACATATTCTGAACATTTTGAATCGTGTCTTAAATTTACTTGACAGTTCTGAGTTTTACAAATCATGTCCAATATTCATGATTTAACTTTAATCTTTATTTCTCTTTATATGATATACTGTTGTTTTAAGTTACACTTCTTTACAACAAAAATAAAAGTTGGGCATGTAAAATAATTGAAAATTTGGGTATATAAATATTTTTACAAATGCAAATATGGCTATGAAATCTAAAGTATAAAATAATTCAAATGTGGGTGTGTTGATATAAAACAATTTCAATGTGGGTTTTTAAATAATTACAAATTTTGATTCCTAAATCTTATAAATTAAATGATTCAAACCAATCATACTGTAGACATATTTCATTCTACATTCATAATATTCAATGTTGATATGGTAAATAATTATTATACCAAAATGTGGTTTATATAAATAGCAAACTATGATGATATACAAATCATTCATTTAACAGACGAAAAATTTGTGTAATGTCATCTGTTGGAATATATTAGTATTACAATGTACACATGGACAGGATGTTCCCCATAAAATTAAGGTATTCCACACCACAGAGTACACGCAACTGTCAAATAGAAGTTATTGCTTTACCTGTAATCAGCCATATAACTTATCAGTTGACCGACCATGCCACTACAATTTAAAAAGTTTGTTGATAGATGAAAATGAAAATCATCATTTTGATGAAAAAAAATTGAATTGAAATGGATTTTCTTCATCAAAATTATGAAGTTAATTATTTTAACATAAAAACAAATTGAATAATTCCCAAAGATTAAAAGAAAATTATTATCTACTCCAGGAATAATAAAAAAAATGTATTTATAATGGGTCCCATCAATGATTTCTATAGAAATCATCGGTCTTATGAAATGGTTCTCAAACAGACATGTATAATATAGATCTAAACATTTTTTTCTTTTCAGGAAGGAGTTATCACCAATATTTATTTTTGATAAAAAATTATAAAATTCAACACTCAAATTTGAATAAAAAATGTTTTTGGGTTGTTCTAAAAAATGAATAAGGTTTTTGAATCAAGATGGGAACAAATTCTTTGACCTAAAAGAAATCCCTCCCCCTCTTTTTTTAGCCACACAAACCCAAAAGATGAATTGTGGGGTCCAAAAGAGATACAAGACACCTATTTTAGAAAAGCAAATTTGACTGGCAGTTTTGCGAACGGCAAAAATCTAAATGCTGTTTGTCAATACCTTCGACTTATATTCCAAGTGAAAACAATTACTTAAATGTTTAATAAAAATAAATCAAAATTAAACTACATGGGGGATAATTCAGGGTATTCCAACTTAGTTGCACCAAAAGGGTATCTTACTATACCAAATTAATCCTTGATTCTTCAAAGTTTAGTTCAGCCATAATAAAAAGGAGTATATAACAGCAATAGAATATCATAAACAGTGCAGAATAAGTCTGTTCACATTTCAGGCGAAATTTATACTGTTAAGATAGTGTCAAGACATATTTAAGACTGTCAAGAATGTGTCGAGTCATATTCAGACATTATTTAGAATGTCAAGAACATGACGAGACATATTCAGACATTATTAAGAATGTCAAGAATATGTCAAGACAGATCGAGACACATTAAAGACAGTCAAGAATTGGTCGAGACGCATCCAGACTCTTATCAGATGATACAGGAAGTGTCGAGAAATTTTAAGACAATGTTCATACTGTCAAGACACTTGTCAAGAAAAATCAAGAACCTAATTAGACAAATTCATACTATGTCAAGAATTTTTAAAAATTATTCAGACAAATTAAGAATATCGAGTAAAACAAAAACTGGTCTTTTCAGACTTTTTGACTTTTGTAGTGTAAAGGTTTGTTTGGCTTGCTTGCTTTGTTTGTATAAATGTTTGCTCAAGCATTGTAATTAAGATTGACATCTGAAAACAATATAAAAAGGCGGATTTAAACTTGTATACATTATATTTAAATTTGATTGGACATTATCAAATAATCAAATTTACCTTACACATGTTTAACTCCGCCTACTTATATTGTTTGCAGATGTCAATCTTAATTACAATGATTGAGCAAACATTTATACAAACAAAGCAAGCAAGTCAACCAAACCTTTAAACTTGCTAGCATTACGAAAAGAGCTGTAAATAAAGAGCCAAATCCATCTTAGTTCAACTCTTCTGATGGAATTGGAATCCATGTTTCCTAATGATCTTTGAAATTTATCTCCGTAGAATTTAGGAAAAGTATACTATCAATCCTATAGATACCAATTCAATGAGTACTGATATGAGAATACCATCGGAGACTCCATTAACGACATATTGCTAAACAATAAAATACTTTTTTTTATAATTTAGTGCGTCCAAAGTTTGTGGAATAACTTTCATCAGGGAAGGTAGCACCCAAAAATCTAAAAGCCAAGGGTGTAAAAAATAAAACATGAAGATCTATAAAACTAAATGAAAACTTAAATCATTAGCCAAATCCACAAGAGGTCAGCTCTGTGTGATTTATTAAAACCTTACTTTCTTAATGATGTTGAATTTTTTTAGCGGAGAGTTGAGGAATGTAAAGCATGCAAGTACCGAAGCACTGTATAATGAGCTGATAATGTCGCATAAGGTTAAACAGTCCACCTGCAGCAGTATTGACTCAGTGCTACAAAAATTGAAATATCCTTTTAAAAAATGTGTTCCGATTAAGACGCTTTTTTTCCTTTTTTTTTTTCCTTCTTTTACCTTTAAAATGAACGCTAAAACCTAAAATATAACATACCTAGAAATAAGACGATGTCGTATGAGTGCCAATGAGACAACTTTCCATCCGAGTCACAATGTGTAAAAGTAAACAATTATAGGTCAAAGTACGGCCTTCCACATCGGAGCCTTGGCTCACACCGAACAACAAGCTATAAAGGGCCCGAAATGACTAATGTAAAACAATTCGAACAGGAAAACCAACGGTCTAATCTATATAAAACACGGGAAACGAGAAACACTTATGAACCACATCAACAAACGACAACCACTGAACAACAGGTTCCTGACTTAGGACAGGTGCAAACAAATGCAGCGGGTTTAAACGTTTTAAAAGGCGCCAGCCTTCACCCTAACCTGGAACAGTAGTGTAACATTACAACATAGAAAGTAACACTATAAGATATCAATTGAAACGGCTTAACTCAATCAAAAAGACATATTAACAAAAACAAGTAAACATAAACTGAACGAATAAAATCTATGACACAATATAAATACAATATAAATAAAAAAAAAGGGAGGAGATGTAAAACAATGTCAAAAAGACAACTGTAGCCTTGGACCAAATGGCGTTAAATAAAATAACGTACACAGGTAATTTAAATATAATAATTTTGTAGTTAGTACTGAAATATTTTTTACCAAATAAATAAATTTGTTGTTCATAGTACGAGAACAAAAGTGAAAATTTATCGTCATACTAAGTACTTATCAAAGGTGGTACATATAGTAGGATGTATTACTACTTGAAATGTGGGTGCTTTTTTCAAACAGATGTTGTCCAGTTATTAATTAATCCTCTTAATTAAAAATAAAAAACATGGTCATAATTGAACAATTATTACATGACCATTTTCAGAAATTCAACATCTCTTCTCGTACATTTTGCTGCTGAGTACTAGCAACCACGTGAATAACATATTGGTGAATCGAAAACACTTAAAAACTTAAAATTTCGATAATGCAATTCAAAATCATATTCATTGGTCAATAACAAATACTTTAAGATTTGCAACGGATTTGACGTCCATCACCAATCTTTGTATTGAGAAGAATAATACAATCACCAGTAGAAGTTTTGAAATTTATTAATACAAATATAAATGTTAAATGTGAAATATAGTATTTGATAATGAATACGTTGTAATTTATCAAAATAGAAGGAACTGATAAATTAATGTATGCTATAACGACTCGTTTAGAATGATTATGTAGCTTTTTTCGTATCTTTGTCTTCTTTTTTCTCGTCCACGTTATCTAATGATATCTTCACTTCTTCTTTTTTCTTTTTTTCTGCATCTGAAAAAAAGTTAGGTATCTAAGATAAAAAAATATTTCGGAAGTAAGTGTTTTGTGATAAAATTACTGAACGAAAAACTATTAATTCTAAATAGTTGTTAACATCATATTGCATTTTGAATAGACCTGTATTGGTCAATATCATTAACGGTACAAATTGTTCTGCACCAGATGCGCATTTCGACAATACATGTCTCGTCAGTGATGCTCAGCGAGGCAAAATATTTGAAAATCAAAAGCTTATTTATGAAATTTAGAGCTTTTTCAAAACCAAACTAGAGATTCTAAAGAGCCTCTGTCGCTCATCTTGGTCTATGTGCATATTCAACAAAGGACACTCTCCAACATTGTAGACGAGAATAGAATTTATGACAATAATCTGTTTTGTTGATCTTGTATTGCTGATCATTTAGTCTCTTTAGTTTTTCTCTATCTTCTTTACTTTTTACTCAAAACACAAAACAGGGTAAAAAAATCCTCATTTTTTTATCTTGCTGATCACTCTTGCAATTTAAAGTTTCTCTTTATCTATTATAGTTTTCAGGATAATAGGTAATAATGTCAAAAATGGTACAATTTGTCATTTGAGGGCAATAACTCCTATAAGAAGTTGTCTGACAGTTTTGACGTATAAGGACAATTGGTAAAGCTCAACATTCTGAACATGTTTGCTTCTGTCAGATTTTTTCTATTCATACATGTAACGGTTTTCAAAATTATAGACAAAACTTGCATTTTACCCTATGTTCTATTTTTAGCCATGGCGGCCATCTTGGTTGGCGGACAGGGTCACCGGACAATTTTTTTATAAACTAGATACCCCTATGATGATTGTGGCTAAGTTTGGTTAAATTTGGCCTAGTAGTTTCAGAGGAGAAGATTTTTGTAAAAGTTAAAAGACAATAGAAAATCGTCATTAAAGGGCAATAACTCCATTAAGGAGTTGTCGGACGATTTCCTTCATTCCGTCTTCATTGTAGATCTTGTCTTGCTGATTATTTTTTGCAAAATTAAGTTTCTATCTATCTTTTAAAATTTTGAAGATAAAAGCAAAAACGCAAAAAAAATGGTAAAAATCGTCATCAAAGGGCAATAACTCTAATAAGGAGTCGACTGATGATTTCGACCATGTTGATTTATTTGTATAACTTGACTTGCTGATCATTCTTGCATTTTAAAGTTTCTCTTTATCTGTTATAGTTTTCAGGATAGTAGGCAAAAATAAAAAAAGAAACGGTAAAATTTGTCATTTAAGGGCAATAACTCCTATAAGAAGTCGTCTGACAGTTTTGACGTATAGGACAATAGGTAGTGCTCATTATTTTGAACATTTTGCTTTAGTCAGATTTTCTCTATTCATAATGGTTCTCAAAATAATAGACAAAACATTTTACCCGATGTTCTATTTTTAGCCATCTTTTTTGGGAGGCAGGGTCACGTGACACAGTTTTTAAACTAGATACCCCAATGATGACTGTTACCAAGTTTGGTCAAATTTGGCCCAATAGTTTCAGAGAAGATTTTTGTAAAAGTTAACAGACGACGACGGACGACAGACGACGAACAACGGACGCCAAGTGATGAGAAAAGTTCACTTGGCCCATTAGGCCAAAATAATCCTTTATTTACTTTTATAAAATAAATTTCCGTCATAGGTGTCATATACAAATTGTACGGTAACTCACCTGTTTTCTTGTGTCTTAAAACTGAAAATAAAAAAAAAAGATTAAAAAATCAACAATCAGAAATACTTTAATTGCTGCAACTTTATTAACATGACAGTTCTGCATCAAACTAAAGTTTCTACTGAAACAGAACAATGCACATTTCTAACTCTTATAGGTTTCAAATTAAGACATTTTTTAATATTCTTGAGTAGAGTAATTGATTTATATGCATACAAATGTGTGTGTGTGTCAACCTTATATTGTTCTTTATAGTATGGTACATAGACTATAACTGTTTAGTGTCTTTAAATATCAGCTGTATGTGTACGAGGTTGAGAAACAGGTGTAATGCGAGCTTCAGCAAGCTATTACTCCTGTTTCGAGCCGAGTACAAATACAGCTGATATTTAAAGACACTAAACAGTTATTGTCTTTATCCTGCAGTTAGTATTGTATATTATTTTTGCTTTGAAAGAAAGAAAAACTCACATTTATTGCATTTAGTTTCGATTTAAACTCCTTTGAGGTCCACGCAGTAATATTAAAATCACACAATTAGCTGAAGACGGGTTCGCAGAAAAGAATCTCGAATGGTCAACAATACCACATCGCTCAAAGTAAATAATTATTTATTATAACATAACAACTAATTTCAACAGTCAAAATTAATTACAAAACGTCCGATTTAAAACAAAAGTGTATGCTTTGTCCTACGCTTCAGAATTTTGAACAGAACTTGACATTCACTGAACATGCTGAAATTGACATTGCTGCATGGTTGATTTTGTGTATTACACATGTACACATTCAAGTTTTGAACTTGATGATTGGCGCCGTAGAAAATGGAGTTAATCCTGCTGTTCGTGTTTTTTCTGTTAGCAGAAAATGGGTTTAATTCAGATTGCTCTAAAGAAATGCTTGAAAACAAACAGAACGTAAATTAATCTATGGTTCGCATAAGGTCAAGCAATACGTCTTTGGAATGCGACTGCAATACACATTCTGAGGTAACGCAGGCTCATACAACACTCGTCAACAGCAATACACAAACGTAGTCCGGCAGTGGGTGGAGCTTTAAAGCGATATCTGTATAGTATACAGATACAGCCTAGTGATATCTGTTGGACTGTAAACGTATAATAAGACACCCAATTGGAGGATAAAATTAAACATTTAAATTCCCTTTTGCTACTTGATATCAAGTGTGATTTTAACGGTACCTTTTAAATGGCGATTTGTATGTAAAACGATACAATTTCATGTGACTTATTTCATTTACCCTTTATATATTATAAAACAAAAAATTAACAAAAGTACTGCTCTAATCTCACAAAATGGTTTAACCTTTTCCTCTAAACAACCATTAAGTAATAACCTCCTTCCTCCCTGACAATTGGTTTTAAAAAAAGATCAAAGTGTATTCGGATGACTACATGTACTGTTCGATGCCAAGTCAGGAACCTCAATATTTGCAGTTGTGTTTGTTTTAATATCTTAAAAAGCGATGATGGCCGATTTTGGGAAGATTCTTCATATTTACATGTTTGACAAAATGTGTCATGTTTGAAAACATTTCAACACAATTTGTTTTAGTCACGAAAATTAACATAATGTTTTAAATATGTGTAGTGTACGTTCTATATCATAAGTATACTTGTCGTTTATACCCAGAGTAAAAATTGAAGAAATAAATAAGGAATGTGTCCATGGGACACAGATGCCCCCGCTTGTATATATACGGAAAATTCAACAATTTTTCAATTTACAAAGGGACATAACCTAAGAACGATGAAAGTGAAGCCACCCACATTCAAACTTGATCTGTGTTTGGTGGTGATATGCATTGTGTTTTAAGTTTCATAACATTTAGTTGAGGAAAACAGCAGTTAAAATGCGGAAACGGCAAATTTGCCTAATTTTCCATTTATAAAAGGACATAACTCGAGAACGGTGAAAGTGACTCCACCTAACTTCAAATTCAATCTGTGTTTGGTGGTAATATACAATGTGTATAAGTTTCATAACCTTGGGTTGAGGGAAACTTAAGTTAAGAACGGACACTAATTTGAGGACGTACGGACGGACAGACGTACAGACGGACAACGGTAAAAAAGAGTGCCCCCTCCGCTGCCATATTTTGTATAAATGTGTTACCGAACTAGCTCTATTAAATAAGCTTTACAAAATCTTATCAAGAAAAGCTGAGAGCATGTAAACTTTTATGAAAAGCTTCTACTTGTTGTACTAACATATTGGTGGTATTGGTGTAGGTTTCATTACAGTTCCACTAGTTGGATCTGAAAATATAACATATACACATTTACTGCCTGAACTTAAAAGAAAATAAAAATGTAAACTTATTACAAAGTAAATGGTCATTGTTTTTAACTTAAAATTCCGTCTTTTTAATTTTTCATAATCTCTGCATGGTGAACTAGTAATACTAAAATGACTAACGACAAACGAAACACACATGCCTATGCATTTAGATGGTTCATGGTTTATGCAAAACATGGTTATTGTGGTTTCTTGAAAACAATTAAATATATTTCCAATGAAAAACATTACGATCAGTAGTTTCCTCTTCAGAAATAATTCCATATTTTCGGAGAAAAAAAATCGTGTTTAAAGAATTCTGATTGCAAGCAGTATACCAAAATGGCTACACAATAGCTCAAAAAAATAATTGCAAGAACTCAAAAGTGAAAGTTGGTCTTCACAAGTCATTATGGTTGCCACTGAATAGTGTAAATTTATGATACGTGTTTAATGTTCACGATGTGCGTTTCTTAAATGTTCTATATCTCGTCGTATGAGTATCATAATGATGTAGCTTAAATTTTTCTACATGTTGGAAATTTGAATATTAACTTAAAATGCGGAATATCATCACTATTTGACTAAGTTATAGAAATTTATGTAGAAATCAAATTTGTTGACTTGAAACGAATCTCTTTGTTCACTTGAACTTTGAATAAACTCGCATCTTTAATAATTGACCCCCCCCCCCCCCCCCCCCCCCCCCCGCCCTTTATTTTAGATAAAACACTACAGTACAACAAGAACTATTTTTAGAAATTATAAACTATTCTAATATGACGTGCTTCTTTGGCTTTGTAAACAACACCGTGATAAAATTCTCGATATATCTATACTTAGCGCAGACTCAGAGATATACATAATAATGGATGTTACAATATACCTCCCTCGTAAATCCACATGTATTGGAACCTATTTGCAAACGCTATGCAGATTTTAATATTTTAAAAATTGCTATTGAAAAAAGACTACAGAACTTTTATTCTTATCCGGATGCATAACAAAAAGAATTAATGCACAAGAGCTCGGAGAAATCTACAAAATCAAAATATAATAAAATTCCGCGAAAGTCCATTAATGCTTTTGGCGCATTTAAGTCATTTCAAAACATGACGTCATACAAATGAAAATGCTAAAGCTAAAGGTTTTTCCGTTACCGTGAATCATCGAAATTCGTATAATATTACATTAAAATGGATTTTTGAGGTAGGTGTTGTTTTATTTTCTATTTTATTGCATTATTTGCACATTTACTGATTTCAGCAAGTCAACATGGCGACTCCTTAGTTACGAAATGTCAACTTTGGATTTGACGGTAGCTTACGAGAAAAACATGTAAATTAAAAATGGCAAATGTTGGGTTTGAGAATTAAGAGAAATTAAGCACATTTTTTCTAGCGGTTGTTTACGAAATATTTCATGCAAGCTACAGATTTATTAGAATGTTTTAGCTTTATCTAACAGGGAGTAAAATAGAACAGCCACACACACGGCATACCCACCCTCGCTTCAGTTTTTTAATGACCGTATTTGTCCTATAAGAATCGAAATAATTCATGAAAGCCATAGATTTGTTGGAAATTTACACATGGCCTCAGGCCATGTGTAAATTTCCAACAAATCTATGGCTTTCATGAATTATTTCTTAATTTTTCTATTGGAGATATACTATGGATTTGGGAATTCAGTGATATTCCTTTACTGTATGCTTGATTTGCTGAGAATAGTGTCTTTTTCATCATTTTACGATTCAAACAGTATAAGAAATCAAAAATTGCAAACAATTAAAAAACAGGTTATCAAAATGTTAAGATCTATTTTAACCTCCAGTTTGTGCATAGCTTTCCTTAGTGGCTGTTTTCTTCTTTCTTCTGTACAAGTATTGTACAAAGCATATTGCAAATCCACTGCATAGTAGTATTAAACCGATTAGTCCAAATATTAAACCTAATGCTAATGATACCCTGAAAAAAAGAGGAATTAAGTGTTTGAATGAAGAAGTCTTGCAAGGGGTACATCCCCCTTTTTTATCGGAAAAATATCCTTTTTGGTATAAATTCGTAAAAACCAAATTTGTTTTACCATAATGGACACGTTCTTTCCTCAAACCATTGATCCTTCTGTGAAACAGCAATCAAACCTATTTTGCTGTACTGCAGGAAATCAATTTAATGACTGATTTATTTATTACTGGTGTTTATCGCCACTTTCAGCACTCTTTACAATATCTTGCCAGTCAGTTTTTGTTGGCGCGGGAAGTCGGATCACGGAGAGAACCTCTGACCCTCGATATAAAGATACGAGATAAATGATCCCCGTCTTCATAAATATTTTCAATTTTTTAAAATATTCAATAAATTTCAAGGCTAACTTTTCAAGTATTATTATCTTACTATATTGTTCATTAAAAAAAAACAATTTTCTTTCTTAAAGTGTCACATTGTTTTTCATCCATGTAGCAAATAAATCTGGAAAATGAAGTCGATGAAATATACTTGTTGTCATAAATAAACAAAATACTAGACTAATATAGTATAATTAAACCAAACACCACTGTCCCAGGTTAGGGGGAAGGTTGGACGCTCACAAACATGTTTAACCCCGCCACATTCTTTATGTGCGTGTCCCAAGTCAGGAGCCTGTAGCTTAGTGGTTGTCGTTGGTTCATGTTTGTCATATTTGTTTTTCGTAAACTGTTCTGTTATTAATCTAATAGGCCGTTCGTTTTCTCAATTAAAATGTTTCATATTTTTCATGTCGGTGCCTTTTATAGCCGACCATACGGTATTGGTTTTTCTAATTGTTGAAGGCCGTACGGTTGGTTGCCTATAATTTCTCACATCCACTTCAATTGAACTTTGGTGGTCAGTTCTTTCATTGACAAATATGCCACATCTCCTTATTTTTATATTGGTACATCATTAAGATATTCGATCGATTTAATTTTAAACCCCCGAATTGACTCTTGTAATTTGTACTTGTTAACACAGCATCCGTTTCCACAACAGCCATGCTCACAGGACTGGGCGTAAGCATCGACGGGACAGTAGGATGCAGCATCAGCCCCTGGAATAACAAATATATTATAACAGATTAGCCCCTAGAATAACAAAAATATTATAATGTAAGAATTGATTCAAAATGGAAGCAGAATCGGTTCAACTCTTTTGTGATTTATATAATACAAAAACTAGAAATATATCAAATAAGATGAATCCATATACATAATACAATGTATCTGGTTCAAATTAAAATATACATATATAATTCTTATATGATTTGCATATTAGAGAACACGTTGATATGATTGGTTGAGAGGACTTCCGGTAGTTGTTCTTGACGTTGTTTATTTTTCGATAGACGACGTTGACCGAACTTCTTTTCGTAACCAATGTAAACAAGATGGCGGCGATAATGACACAATCCGGATCGACGTTAACACAATTTATTTTCAATTCGCGTAAATAGGTCTAAATAGTTAAATAAAATAATAAACACAAAACATTCGTTTGAATGATAATAAGAGTTTTTGTAGTTTATTTTTTATCAGATTGCAAATTTCATGGAGTACATATTTTTGCGTTAACCAACAAATATATTTATGCGCCAGGCCTATTCAATGACACAACTTTACAATTTACGTGTGATAGAGGTTATGAGTGTGGAAAAATAAATTCCTTGTCTCCAATTTTAAAGAATTATAAGGATTAAACGTCTTTTTAAAGGAATTTTTTGGTGTATAAACTGTACCAAGTCACTCACAAACATACTTTTTTATTTGTTTGTGAGTGAATTGGTCGAGTTTATACACCAATAAATTCCTTTAAAAAGGCGTTTAATCCTATAATATATCTACGATATAAAAATTTGATTGACACCTATAAGCACTGCCGCGGAACTGATGAACCAGATTCTATCAAATTTAAAGACGTATACACTGACTATCAGTTAATTTAATGCTTTTCAACAATCGACGTGTTTAAATTACTTTATAGAGAATTGTTGATATATCTCTTACGTAATGTTAGTATGTACTTGAGGGTCTGGTGGGTCTGACAGAATAGAGGACAATGGACCCGAAAAAATATTGAACCCAAATGGGCAAATAGAAAATATTGGAGTGCTACAATATAAAGAAAAGAGAATGATGGGTCATAAAAAAGAATTCTGAAACATTGCTTTTAACATTATTACAGAATTCAGGACCCCTCCCCAACCATACCCTCATACTTTACTTAATTTGTACTTTAAGACTGAAATTCCCTATTGTTTGTTGTCTGTTGGAAGAAAGACAACTTTTTGTATAAAGTATAACATAGGATCCTTAGTTATTTACTCCTAAGGTTTAATTATGGTATGTTATCATGTCGCTTGACGTGTGTGTTTATATTCATTTTTTTTCAAAATCTTCTTCCCCCTCCAGAAAATCGAGTCGTGGTCCCCTTAAATATGTATTCACATTTTCCCAACAACAGGGGGAAAATCGACGTATTAATTGTTTGTTAATTACGTAACCTCCAATGATACATTTTGTAAGCATGTTCAATAAACGAGGAAAGACTTTGCATAAAGTAAATGAAATGGCTTAACATCCAGTGACATACGAATGTGTATTTCTATAATATAACTGTAATGGAATTTTCATTTAAACGCGATATAAAAAAAGAACCCCATCAAAAAAGGGCTGTGCGGGAACCATTTTCTCCTTAAGATACACTGGAACGGGTCGCTATGAACGGAAGAGAACAAAACGGGGATCTGCTTTCCCTTCAACGATATTTGTAGGGACATGCGACCTATGAGTCTGTTTAAGAATTTGGTATTTCTAGAAATTTGAAAGTATTTGATAAAGAAATTTAACAATCGTGCCTCTTCGTTTATAGATCCCGCTATTCCTTAATGTAGCTTCTCCCTCAGCCCTTTATTTACTAGGAGTGTTGTTTCATGTTAGAGTTATGCATTAGCTAAAGCTTGGGCTAGGTAAGGGTTTGTTTAAATTTTTGTTTAAGTGTTAAAACTAGGACTCGTGTTAGGGTTAGTTATGGGTAAAGTTAGTTTTAGGGGAGGGGTAAAAATCCCAAATGGTTAGGGTCCCTAAAGTAAATAAGGCCCCTCATCCAGTCCCTTTCAAACCCAAAACAACCCAATACAATCAATTTCCCGAATCAATGTTTTGTTTATATGTTTTGTTTTTATTTTTTGTTAAGTTATGGGGAAGTAGTATTGTTCATTGATATTACATTTTGCTATATTTTTTTACTTCTTCGTTTTTTCTAGTACACTGAGTCGTAGCAAGAAAGTGAAATAACAACATCTGAGATCGTATTGAATGCACTGGTCTATGCCCATCCCATTCTTTGATTTTCGGGTGAAAAGTGGTCAACTGACCACACGCTTCCTGTTCATGCACGCCTCTATATATAAAAAAATATAACCAAAAGCAAAATTACCATTCGTGTGACAATGTACACTATACTTGTTCTGATAAGAAATGCAATAAAAGGCCTCGGCACAAAAAAAAAATGTGAAACAATTCAAACGACGTGCAACCACTGAATTACAGGCTCCTGACTTGGGACAGGCGCCTACAGACTGACGCGCGGTTAAACATGTTTGTTAGCGCTCAATCCTTCCTTAACCTGGGACAGTGGTGTACCAGCACAATATAAGAACAAACTGTAAAAATCAGTTGAAAAGTGTGTATTATTTCAAATTAGACAATTAAAAAGTTGTTAGAGCTTAAAGACTTAATGTCCTTGTTTAATTGTAAATTATGTTATGCATCTTTTGTTAATCCACTAACGGATATAAAAAGGGTGAGGGTAAACTCCGCCTGTCCAAAGTGAGGAACTTCGTCAGCGTTTGTCTTAACAAAAATGTATGTCATACGTGTACTAAATAACTGTTCACGATCTTTAAGTGTTTATAGACACCAGTTTAAAATATATGTACTGTTAATGTTGACCTCCTTTTATTCATATTGTTTATTGTACATGACGCGTACTAATCAGTTGTTCAGTACGACCAGTAACTACATTCTATGATATACATGTATCAACAATCTACAAAAAGGGGGCAGAAGGGAAAGGGGAAAGGTGGGGACCATGGGCCCGGGACCCCCTTATGGAGCTGTATAATTATATGGTTAATGCAAAGACAGATGTCCCACTCCAATCGTGGATTAGTTTGGGGAACCACTTTTTCAAAATCCGGGATCTGCATCTGGAAAAAGGTGAAAACGGGGAGGGGGTGGGGGTTTTCGTGAATGAACAAACGAAAGCTTCACGGCAGCGGTCAATGGCATTCAATATACATGTCATGCTTTTTTTCGGAAGTGATGCACATTTTAAGTCGTATATCTTGATTTTGGATGTTTGTCAATGCTACACAAGAGTACTAAGGTTTATTTAAATGTATAGTATATATACGTGTGTGGTACAAGCATCATTAGGATAATTGTAAAGGGACATAATTGTTTGTTGATGATTGAAGATGCCCTCCCCCTTTTTCTCTGAATATGTTGTTAAGGTAAACATATTGTATTTCGGACTTCCGGGTTCGTTTTTACTTACCTGTAATAAAAGAATTTATGAATATAAGTCCAATTCCAAAAATATTCGACAATAAATTTGAATAAAGTTCCATCTTCGAGTAAACAAGGTTAAATTTTTCTACATATTTGTTTGGCTAAAATATGTCAAAAATAAGTTTGTCATTTAAAATACATGCAATTATATAGATCGACCGTGTGTATACACTTTAACAATCAAAAATGTATTTAAAGTGCATAACATTTTTCCGATAATTGAACAAAAACACCATTCAATATCCTTAAAGTTTAAATACCTAGTTAATAGTGAGAATGAACAAAGTATATTTACACATGCACGCTTATTGCAAAAATGTACAATACTCTTGGTTCAATTCTATTCAGATTGTTGGCGATATTTAATAAAAAGAAAAATAATAAAATGTAATGAAACTAATCAGTACTACATGTACATGTACATAAAAGTTAGAAAAAAGGAAACACTTTTTTTGGAAACATTAATTTTGCTTATGACATGTATTTTTTTCTATAATTTTTATGAAAGGGGGAAGCAAAATATTGGAGTATTTTATTGGTGTTGCTGAAGTTTATTTAAAACATCAATGATATGCATCATTGTCATTTTGCTTAGTTTTTTTTTTTGTTACCTATTCTGACATCGGACTCGGACTTCTTTAAAACTGAGTTTTACTGTGAGTGTGTTTGTTTATTCTCATTGGCTAGAGGTACTGGGGAGGGTTGAGATCTCACAAAACACGTTAAACCCCGCCGCATTTTTGCGCCTGTCCCAAGTCTCTGGCCTTTGTTAGTTGTATGTATTTTTTAATTTTAGTTCATTTATATGTTTTGGAGTTTAGTGTGACGTCCATTTTCATTGAACTAGTACACATTTTTGTTAAGGGGCCAGCTGAAGCCCGTCTCCAAATGCGAGATTTTCTCGTTGTGTTGAAGACCCATTGGTGGCCTTTGCTCTTTGGTCGGTTGTTGTCTCTTTGACACATTCCCTATTTCCATTTTCAATCTTATACAAAAAAATATGGATTGCAACTCTAGTTATGACGCCGATTGATTGCAAGATCATTTGTATCTAACGTATGCAACGAGATAAGATTAATTGATTGCTGTTTTTCTTCACGTCCAGTGGCAAATATTTCTTGCATACGCATGACGAAACAAGATTAAAAGCACAAATTAATCCTTATGATGAAATTAGACTTGTATGCGTGTATTAGCTGTGATTTTTTTCTAAATAAGTACATAACTGCATTATCTGCAATTAGTTGTCGAGAAACAGTCTTGTAGTGTTGTCGTCAAAGTTGTAATTACAGTGTAAAAATATAAAAAAAATAAAGGTTTTGTTCTAACTTGTATTTTAATGAAAGAAAATGTTGTTCTGTTATGATGGTCGAAAATTGTGTATCAAAAAAAAAAAATAAAGCCAACCCCAACAACCTTCCACCCAACTCACTCCAAAAGATGACTTGTCGTTGCCGCGTTCAAAAATTATTTGTCTGAAATTTAGAAAAATTACCAAAATCGAGGCTTGTAGCGTACACGAATAATTTTGTGTTTTCCAAGAATATAAGGCATAAGTACATGTATTTTTATTTTTGAGTGATGCACAAAAAGTAACTATTTTTATAAATATACAATATTTTAAATTAATGATGTCAGTTGATTTTTCATGAAGTGAATTATCAATTGATTAATGGAAGGAAAAAAGAAAATCAGGAAATATCATCAACGTTATATTGAGTTTTTTTGTGTGTAAATCCAGTGTCAAATATTTCATGCAATTTCAAGGACGAGAACAAATTAGCAATTACTAAAAAAAAAGATATGTCTTGCAATAGCAGTCGTTTGGGTTGGGATGCCACTGAATAAGTAGAGACCGAAATTTAGCCTTGCAAAATATAAAAGACAGTACTGCGATGTAATTGCATATGCCGTTTAAGTGGTGACGCTGGACGTCAAACTCCCAATTGATGTCGACAACTCTTCAAAAACAGCCCTGTCATTTCTTTATTAAAATGCAATAGTCGTAAAAATATCCATATGAAATATCCCGGAAACGTCTATTGCGATTGTGAAATGTAAATGAAAGTCACTGTTCCTTGAGAACCGGCAAGTAGCATTTGAATGCGTTATGATACATTACTATTTTACCATTTTGTAAAATTTTTCTTTAGGAAACATATGATAAAAGTGACTATTTACTGAACTGTTCCCCTGGGGAAAGTTGTAATGAGGAACACATATAGTCAGTTGATTAGATGTGTATACGGATTCAATAAAATGACTCTTTACCTTCTGAGTTATTTTTTCTGCATTTTGTCTTTTAGCTTTATGTTCTAACGTTCATCTCTTCTTATCATTGGAATGAGTAGCTAAATACGTCTACGGTGTCATTTTTATACTTCTTGTATTGTAAAATATATTTCACATGATTATGGCCAGATGCGAAGTGACATGTAAATGCAACACAATATCTGTGTAACTATGCAGGCATTTAAATGATATCATCTTATCATTCAACACACAATTTGTTTAAAATGCATACTAATAAACAATCGCTATTTACAAACATGGATACCTTTAACATTGAATGCAATAATGTACATAAACGACGAGATTGATATTTGTAAAAATGAGTACACGTAATGGACTAAATTATCTTAAACTAGCCGTAATTCTTGGAATTTCTAGAGGTTAGTATACACCTATGGTCTGACATAATCTTTTAATTAAGTAACCTTGTCAAATAATTTCATAATTAACACATACTATAGTCATTATACAGATATTATGTCATTGTATTATTGTGTGGAGTTACATGTGCATGAAATGACATGCCATAATCGGGAAAATGATTTATAATAAATTATCAGAAAAGAAGAAATATGGTTCTAATTTACGAATCAATATCTGAATTACTACGATAGAACATTGAAGCAAGAGAGCAATATTTTTATTGCTGTTTTTCATCTCAAAGTCCATAGTGAGGCTTTTCAAACTATGGCAAGTAGTCGCACACCATTGTAAATGCAAAACAGTTCCTAGCACTTGCTTAAGATGAATTTTGTAATGAGGCAGATAGCATTTAAAACATACATAGTATATAATTCGGGGTAATAACGACAAATTATAATAAACATCAAGCTGCTAGCATGTTTCGCACTTTGTATTCCATGTGCCTTTAATAACTTGCCACACGGTATGAGTTTTACTCATTGTTGAAGACAATACGATGACTTGTAGCTGCATCTTTGTACTTTGATCTTTGGTTGAACGCTGTATTATTTGCAATCATACCATTTTTTTTATCTTTTTAATTAAAATTGAAAATGGAAATGCGGAATGCGTCAAAGAGACAACAACTCAAACAAAGAGCATAAAACAGCCCAAGGCTACCAATGGGTCTTCAACACAGCGATAAAATCCCGCACCGAGAGGCGGGTTTCAGCTGGCCCCTAAACAAAAATGTGTACTTGTTCAGTGAAAATGGACGTGGCACTAAAATCCGAAACATATGAATGAACTAAAAAAACATACACGACTAACAATGGCATGAGGCTCCTGGCATGGGACAGGCACAAAAATGCGGCGGGGTTAAACATGTTTTGTGAGATCTCAACCCTCCCCCTATACCTCTAGCCAATGTAGAATAAACAAACACACAGTAATACGCTCAGTAAATTTCAGTTAAAAAGAAGTCCGAGTCCGATGTCAGAATAGGTAACAGAAGAAAATAAGCAAAATGACAATGATACATAAATTAACAAAGGACTACTAGCAGTTACTGACATGCCAGTTCCAGACCTCAATTAAAATGATTGAAAGATTATGTCTTCATCATATGAAAATCAAGAACAATTCCTCCCATAGACACTATGAGCGAATCAATATTAATTCCAAAATATGCCATCTTCAATGACCTGACAACAGTATCGTTACTGTATCCCTTCCGAACAAGTCTGTTTAAAGGTTTGGTTAGCTTTTGAGGTGAATGACGACATGTTTGTGCTTTGTATAGAATATTACCATTAAAGATTGGAAGTGAGATACCTGAACGTATAAGATGTCTGCGTGTTGATTTATATTTACGAATGACGTCCTTGTACCGATGATAAAATTTAGTAAATATTTTGACTAGTTTGTGATATCGAAAACCCTGGTGTAATAATTTTTCAGTAATACAGAGATTTCTTTCGATAAAATCAAATACATTGTTACATACATGAGCGAATCGAACAAGTTGAGATATATAAACACCACAAGATGGTGTCAAGGGAACGTCACCATCTTAAAATGAATAAAAATTAACAATAGGACATGAAAAATCATCTCTTTTATCGTAAATTTTGGTATAAAGGTTCCCGTTAAAGATATAGATATCAAGATCCAGGAAAGGGCAGTGTTCTTAATTAGTATTAGCTTTATAGGATAAATCTCTTTAGTGTACATACTGACGTCGTCATTATTGAGAGCCAATATATCATCCAAATATCTAAAAGTGTTATTTAATTTTTGTTTCAGATGTTGTTTCGATGGGTCTTTGCTGATTTTAGTCATAAATTGTAACTCATAACAAAAGTAGTGCACAGTTAGTCCCCATTGGAATCCCGATAAGTTGACGATATACTTAATCTCCATAGCGAACAAAAATGTTATCTAGTAAAAATTCAAGTGCAGTTATCGTATCAAAGCAGGTCCAATTGACATAGTTCTTTTGTTTGTTGTTATACTAAAAAATGACCTAAAAGAGTTTGAACATATGTATTCGCATTCTGACTTTTGAAATGCCCATTTAATTAGATGTGTGATTTTTTTCTTAATAAGATTATGAGGCAAAGTGGTATATAGGGTAGAAAAATAAAAACTTTGAACAAATTCGAAATCACTAATAAAACATGCAATTTGTCAAGTACTTCCAACGAATTTTTGACACTCCAAAAGTAATCAATTCCACTATTTTCAAAGGCCTTATTTGAACAATTTATTACCAGGTTTTTGATTGTACCAAGTGTACTAGTAAGTAGAATAGACAGTTTAGTAGTGGAACAATGGCCTGAAGACGAAATAAATCTATATACTTGTAATGTGTTTTGTGCAGCTTCGGAAGCCAGTGCATAGTTGGGACATTCATTGTATTTTGTTCTGCTTTTAAAGAGGTAGTTAAAAGTTTATGTTTGTAACAGATGTCTTTTTCCGAAAATGGAGTCAGTTGGAATGTTGGTGAATTCGTGATTTCCTTTTGCAGAACCTCAATGTAAAATTTACGTCAAACAATAATGATATTATTGGCAGCCTTATCAGCCGGGACAAAAACAAATATCTTAGCGAGTTCTAACTGTATACATAATCATGATAATATACATGTATATAAAAGAAAAAGAAATCAATATCAACAGTTTGACTATAACATGACAAATCAAGATATCTGTCAGAGAAACTTGGTAGGAAATAATGAATGAACTGGTCAAATCATTCGGATAAATCTTACACCTACCTTATTGTTAACCTGTAGAAAATATAGTCTAGACCTTTTAACGAAGTCACGGTACCTACATTCCCGGATTTTCTCCTCATCCATGACATTGTTTCCATGTACAAACCATTCAATTCTATTAATTTCATCTATTTGATTACCTTGTCTGTGCATTAAATGTTGATTAACTGAATAATGCATATCATTCAGCGGCAAATATTACATAGATATTCAATTCAGGATGATCACCTGCAAACTGAGGTTATATAGCTGTACCCCTATTTTTGACATTTTTAGCTATTGTGTCTGTTTGTTTTGTCCACGCATCGTTGTCAATATAATGCAATTTGATGCGACTGTCATACAAGTGAGAGGTTTAGCTAGCTATAAAACCAGATTCAATCCATCAATTTCTACATAAGAAAATGCCTGTACCAAGTCAGGAATATGACAGTTGTTATCCATTCGTTCGATGTGTTTCAGCTTTTGATTTTGCCATTTGATTAGGGAATTTCCTTTTTGAATTTTCCTCGGAGTTCAGTATTTTTGTGATTTTACTTTTACCCATACCACCACGCTTGCTCAGAAAACTTCAGACCATTTCAATACATACATTTATCACCTTAATGGGACAAATTTGCGGACTCCGCGCCTATAAGTCTCATTCATGCATTGTACATGTGGGCTTAAACCAAAAATTTTGTTAGTTCCCGCCCAAGCACGTGGCGTCAATGTGTTAGAGCAAAGTAGTATATAATATTTGCCATGAATATGATATTGTTTTGAATGTGCAAGAAATGTTTACGGTTGGGTGTTAAAAATCCAAATATTATCATTTTATTTGAGGTCTTGAGCTGGCATGTCAGACAGAAACTGCTAGTAGGTCTTTGTTAATTTATGTTGTCTATATGATCATTGTTGTTTTACTTAGTGTCGCGATCGTCTGCTACTTATTCTAACTTCAAACTCTGACTTCTTTTAAACTGGGCTTTACTGTGCGTATTGCTGTGTTAATGTTTATTACACGTTAGTTTGGGGTATAAGGGAGGATTGAGATTTCGATTAACTAGTACTAAAAGATGCCCGAGAAATCGCGGTACAATTGGGCAAGTGTTGAAAAAAGAGTGTCAAGGGTGCCTGTGTTTACACATAAAAAGGGGGAAGGGGTCCGGACGTCGGGTGCCTGTGTTTACACATAAAAAGGGGGGAGGATTACTTCGAAACGTTCAATGCCCATTTCATTTTTGGACAGTTCTGCACCAGAGTAAAAAGGGTGAATGTCGCTTAATTTAGCCAAATGGTGCACTTACAATACAATACAGGATCCTTATGGGCTCTCGCTGTGTTGCATACCCATTGATGTCTGTGTTCTGCTGTTTGGTCGGGTTGTTGTCTCTTTGACACATTCCCCGTTTCTATTCTCTGTTCTATAGTCAATAAATCAATCATAGTTTTCATTTCAGAAGTGACTACTGCTGAATATTGCACACGGTTTTGCGAATATGGCTGTTGTGGAAACAGTTGCTGTCCAGACAAGTAAATGTACACGTATATAGATAGTTTCATATGTCATATAATAGCAATATCTTAACAGTCGAATATAAAATGAAAACACCATGGCAAAAAAACAGATGAAAAAATCGGTAGGTCACATTCGGGGAAAAAGAGTTCATAAGTTCATAGTAAGCAATATATAGCTTAAAAACTCGAATATACAAAATAAACCAACAACCAACAGCAATGTCAATTCTCCCCATTTTTATTGTGGCCCATCATTCTCTATCCTGTAAACCTCATCCAGACTCTCTTTATGATGCTTTATAAGTGTCCTTCCTCCTGGCAGAGCACACTTGAACGTTGGATTTAATATGATTCCGCTTTGAAGCCATGTTTTACAACTTTCTGACTCTTCTGTGTTTAATAAACACGTGGTAATGTTTATCTGTTTGAAAATTGTATTTCGATTGGATAAAATACCATTATTTGACATCAGGAATGTAAAGTGAGTGTCAGTATTATACATCCGGGTCTTCAGATATTTTCACAGCATTGCTTGTTATGCAAATCAAATAATTCTTTTCAAATTCATGCCGTGTATCCTTCTTTTTGTTACATGGTAATGTATGTCAATTTAGGAAAACACATGTAGTCCATATACTTTTATCTAATGATGGCTGTTGCTGAGATCTAAACCAACAGGTTTTTTTTTAAATGGAGTCTTTTCAATGTAGAATTTATAATATATCAATTTTATGAAAACAGATATATGTATATGTATGTGAAGTTAGCAGCCGGTTCGTTATTCGATATTCGATATTCAACATCCAACCGGCTGCTAGCAGTCGGTTCGATATTCAAATTAAGTTGAAAATCATAGAAAATTCAAATATTTGAAAACATTCAAAGCATGATTTTTAGAGTTAAGAGGAGTGAAGAGATACGTAGGAAATCGTTTAATGTCCCCTTAAGCTGTCGTAAATTCTTGTTGTCCTCGAATATGTACCCTTATGTAAGTTGCATATTTTTTTATGTAATATAGATTTCTATGAATAAAACGACATCAAAGATGTAATTTTATATAAAATATATAAAACAAAAACAAAAACAAAAACCGATCACTCTAGAAACATTTAAAAATATAAATAGAAATATTTAAGGAAAGCCCCCCAAAAAAAGAAATGTATAGCGAAAACCTACCGGAGACCGCTGAAATGACGATGAGACCCCTCCCCTGGTCTTTCAATGTTCATATAAATCGAGGAAATCATAGAATCTGTATATATAAAGATTGTATCAAAAGGATTTCCCATAATAATATCATCCTCAATATCTACGGAGGGCTTAGATTGTCACTTTTCAGCTAAAAATTGTCAAAATTTCAGGACAAAGGGCACAGGGCAATGGTGAGAGCTCCCTGATCTCTCAATCTGCCTAATATCAAGCAGACAGTTATTTAATAGGTAGATAAAAACGTGACTAAAATGAATGTGGGTAGACTTCTTGTCGTCTATGTTTACGGAGGGCCCAAAGTGCCAGTTTGATATTCAAAATATATAGCGAAAACCTACCGGAGACCGCTGAAATGACGATGAGACCCCCTGGTCTTTCAATGTTCATATAAATCGAGGAAATCATAGACTCTGTATATATAAAGGTTGTATCAAAAGGATTTCCCAGAATAATGTCGTCCTCGATATCTACGGAGGGCTTAGATTGTCACTTTTCAGCTAAAAATTGTCAAAATTTCAGGACAAAGGGCACAGGGCAATGGTGAAAGCTCCCTGATCTCTCAATCTGAAAAGTGACAATCTAAGCCCTCCGTAGATATCGAAGATGACATCATTCTGGGAAATGCTTCTGATAAAACCTTTATATATATACAGAGTCTTTGATTTAGTTGAATTTTATGGACATTGAAAGTCTTAGACCAGGGGGGTCTCACCCTCATTTAATCGGTCTCAGGTAGGTTTTCACTATATAATTTGAATATCAAACTGGCACTTTGGGCCCTCCGTAAATATGGAAGACAGGGAGTTTACCCAAATTCCTTTTAGTCACGTTTGTATCAACCTATTAACTAAATGTCTGCATAATATTAGAAAGATTGAGGGATCAGGGAGCTCTCACTATTGCCCTGTGCCCTTTGTCCTGAAATTTTAACAATTTTTAGCTGAAAAGTGACAATCTAAGCCCTCTGTAGATATCCGTATTTCTTTTTTTGGCTTTCCATAAATATTTCTATTTATATTTCTAAATTTTTCTAGAGTTATCGGTTTTTCATTTTGTTTTTAGAAATACCATATATAAAATTACATCTTTGAAGTCGTTTTATTGATAAAAATCTATTGTACATAAAGACAAATATGCAACTTACAAAAGGGTTTATTCGAGAATTTACGACAGCTTGAAGGAGTCGCTAAACGATTTCCTACGTAATTTATTAGTCCTCTTAACTATGAAAATCATACTATTAATGTTATCAAGTATTTTTTTTTTTTTTTATGATTTTCAACTAAATTTGAATACCGAACCGACTGTTAGCAGCCGGTTGGATATTGAATATCGAATATCGAATAACGAACCGGCTTCTAACTTCACATACATTATATGTAGATGTGTATAATGTATATGATATGCAGATCCGTGCGATTTTTTTTTTTTTTTTTTTTTTTTTTTTAAATTGTTAACATTAAAAATTAGAGAAAAATTGGAAGAGACCAAGTGGACATTCAAAACTAACAAGTTGAAGTAAAAATGACAACGACATGACAAAAAAAAAAGAAGAAACGACAAACAGACAAATTAAACAAGTCCGCAAAATGATTCATTGAACAATAGAGACTGACCAACCGCATCAAAAATTGAAAAGCTAAAATTTTAACTAAAAAATGAATATTTTTGGATTTTTTTTTCGTACATCTACGATAGTTTGGGCTGAAAAGAATGTAAACTTCTATACAAACAAAGTGTAGGACAAATGTAGTAAAAATGATAAATTTTGAATTGATTTAATAGAAGTGTATTTGAGAAGCCAGCTTTTTTCAAAAACCATTTTGATTAAAGGTGCCATTTGGGAAATTTGTAATCGTTTCTAAGGAACAACTCCGAGAAGTTACAAATTTAAATGTGATGGAAAATTTGAAAATGTGATTAGCGAACAGTCCCCCTTAGAGTCTGGATCAATTCTAATTCAACTGTTTACTCTTAAATTCGATAATTGTATTCCTTTAACATGGTTTTTTTTATCATTGTAGGCGTGCTATTGCTGTGGGGTCCATCTTTGGTGGACTAGCATTCATCTTCTTAATTGTTGTGTTATGTATAATTTGCATGGGGTATGTAAAAAAGAAGTCAAGGAAGGACAGAATGAAGATATCTCACGCGGAACAGGAGGCACAGACAATAAATACACTTAATGAAACAAGAACAATCAACATGGAGAGTAGTACCTGTACAGTAATTATCAATTTGAAAAATAGAAAGAAAGCCGTAGTAAAAGTGAATAGTGATAGAATGTCAATATTGACAGAAGAAGATGTTGATGTTCAAACGAAGGTATTGGGAGACAAACGTAAGTTTTATTATATTTGTAGCATTACCCGTCATATGTTTTTTTTTCCATGTTTCCTCCAAAAAATTTGAGTCTTTTTCATATTTAATTTTACTGTATACACATGATATTTCGACAATGAAACCTGCACCCATAAACAATTAAAAACAAATTAGGACCCCTTTTTGAAAATATAAAATTTGAATACCACGGTCAGTTCAAGGAACTATTAAGTTCAAATATAAACAAGCATATATGAGAGAAAAGACAGCTGGTTGCACGAACCAAAATTGAATTGAGACAAGAGCAAGTGGCGCGTGCAGAACATGAAAAACAGTAAAAATATACAGTGGCAAATATCTGACACATGTTAAATCAATGCCAGAGTATGTTGAGACAGGTAGACACTGTTGATTCAATCCATATCAGGCATGGGGTAATGCAAATTTGTAATTGTAATGCAATGCATTACATTTTTCCAAGTAATTGCATGTAATGTGTAATGCAGCAATTTAAGCATTACATGTAATTGTAATTTAATGCATTACTTTAGCAAAAAGTTGTGTAATTTCATGAATTACATTGCATTACATGGCATTACTTTTTTCACATACTATATATCTTTAACAGATTGTTGCAGAATTAACTAAAGCAGAATTTAAGATTTCTTTATTAAATAGGAACTTATCATTTGAATATTCATATTGATTTTCTATTTCTATTTATTTTTCATCCTTTACATAAATCACTAGAGGGAATTTGGAGATTAAGCCTTGCCCCAGGTAGAACTTGAAAAGAATTGGTTTAAATACTAGAATGACCAAATTACAATTCTAAATGAATAACACAACACTGTATATCAGATTCAGTTCTTTTTTTTTTATTTCATTTTATTTCATTTTATTTCATACAGTTTCCTGCATAAAAAGATATTTGAAAAATATTACTGTATCCCATTGTTGTCAAAAGATTAATGAATACCTTGTCATTATTAAATAAAAGATAATTGAACATTGTCATAAAACACTAATTAGTTTGTTTTTCAATCAATTTTTTCACCATTTTGACACTTACTCATACATTAATGCATTAAGCTCTATGTTTATTATATAATTAGGAAAGAAATTCTCAGTAAATATTTTGATTGAAATTAAAAAAAAAACAAATGCATATTTATAAAAATATAAAAGTAAAGTTAACATTAACATTTTGTTAAAATAAGTATTCAACTTCATCTCTGTAATTTCTTTTTAGAGAAAACACAGAGATGTATATATACCTTGAAACATAGAATGTGCATGAAGGATAAAACCTTCGAAACCCTTATGATGTTAAAATGTAAAAGTCGTATTGAATAGACTTTTAAATGTATACTTAAATTCAAAACATGGAACAGTTACTGCAGAATCTTTTGTGGCTTCATGTTGCTTTTCAAAATGTTTGATTTTTCTTTTCACTTGATAATAAAATTTACAAATTTAATGTGTAATTCAATGCATTACTTTGCAAAAGTCATGAATTGTAATTTAATGCATTACTTTGATAAATGCATGTAATTGTAATTGTAATTTAATGCATGGTTTTGTCAAAGTAATTGTAATATAATGCATTACATTGCAATGTAATTCGCCCCATGTCTGATCCATATACAGTGGAGATCACTTCTAACCCTCTCATTAAATCTGTCAGAATCTGTCAGGAGAACTGTTCTAGGACAGTATGTAGAACTGTCATCCCGAGTTCTAGCTAGAACAGTTCTAACCTAGAACTGATTTGGTCAGTTCTACCTTGAACTGATTTAGACAGTTCTACCTAGAACAGATCCTGACAGTTCTACCCTAGAGCAGTTTTAGACAGTTCTACCTAGAACTGACCAAATCTTTGGTCAGTTCTACGACTAGAACAGTTCTACGGATAGAACAGTTCTACGACTAGAAAAGTTCTACGATTAGAACTGATTTGGTCAGTTCTACGGCTAGAATTGATTTAGTCAGTTCTATCCATAGAACAGTTTTAAGAACTCTATGTCTTAAATATAAATAAGTCAAAAGAATATAATATATATTAAAAAATTGCAGTGACGTCATTTAGAATTGTTCTACAATCCTGACAGGTACGGTCAGTTCTACGGCTAGAACAGTTTTAGACAGTTCTGTTGACAACTCTACGGTTAGAACTGATTTAGTCAGTTCTGCTGACAGTTCTACGGTTAGAACTGATTTGGTCAGTTCTGCTGACAGTTCTTCGACTAGAACTGATTTGGTCAGTTCTACCTAGAACTGATTCTGACAGTTCTACTTAGAACAGTTCTAGGGTAGAACTGTTCTAGGTAGAACTGTTCTAGGACAGTTTGGAACAGTTCTATGACAGATTATTCTGACAGTTCTAATGAGAAGTTAGAAGTGATCACCACTGTACTTTTGAAGTATATACATTCACTACAGTACCTGTTTGTGAACTGTTATTATTATGCTACTCAAAGAAGGTTTTGCAACACTTCCATTGCGGTTAATGAGGACCAAATTTTGAAGTCTGATATCTTTGTTGAAATGCTGAGACTGATCTGAAATTAACAGCATTTCTGTTTTAAAAGATGACGAATTGATTACCGAATACAATAAAAAAAGTATTACAAAAGATAAGGGGGGGTGTTAAATAATGTGTCCCTCCCAATTGCTTTTTTATGTTTTGGTAAGGTAAATTATTCATATGAAATCAATAATGCCATCAGTTTCAGCACCTCGTCAATCGTTTGCATTGTTTGCATTTTTTTAAATAGACTACATGTATGTGCAAAAAATTGTTAGATTGTGACTTTCAATTTTGCCCCCTTCCTTCAAGTTTGCAAACAGTGTAGAAGAGGGGCAAACATACCAAAGGGACCTTCAAATTCATAAGTCAAAAATAAATGACAACGCCATGGCTTAAAAAGAAAAAAGACAAACAGACAAGCAACAGTACACAAAACACATAGAAAACCAAAGACTGAACAACACGAACCCCACCAAAAACTGGTGGTGATCTCAGGTTCTCCATAACGGTCAACCAACTCGTGATTGCGTCAGTAAAATTTACGAAGGGATGACTTCAGCTTCACCACTTGAAACTCTTGGTTTAATAGCTTCCTTGTGAGCAGCAACCCTCTATCAAGGAAATCATGATAGGAAATACAAGCCCTGGAATATGTCCAGAATTTGACCAACATAACTGTAGTACTTTTGAATACACAAATGATTGAAGATTTAAAAAGCACAAATTTGAAAGATAACTCGATATTTTGTTTTACTTTTAAATTATTTTCATTCAGAAGTTGTGTTGCTAACATTTTTGGAGTAGTAAATGGTATGACTTACATGAACATGTATAACTTTTGCGGCATTATTATGTTAATGCCAGATCTTTCATTGTGACTGTTTCCCTTTTTAAACTGGCTTTTTCTAGACTCGGGAAAGATTAAGATAAAATTGAGAATGGAAATGGGGAATGTGTCAAAAAGACAACAACCCGACCAAACAGCAGAAAACAGCCCAAGGCCACCAATGGGTCTTCAACACAGCGAGAAAATCCCGCACCCAAATAACATATAAAAGCTCTAAAATTTAAAAAAAAATACAATAACAAAGGCCAGAGGCTCCTGACGTAGGACAGGCGCAAGAATGCGGCAGGGTTAAACATGTTTTGTGAGATCTCAACCCTCCCCTCATACCTGTAGCCAATGTAGAGCTTACAGTATTGTATAGACGTCTGTCTATAATTGTTAAATCTCGTTTGTTTACCTCATAGAAAAGTTGTCTTTTTATTAATTTTGTGCCTTTGGATTTTCTTCTGATTGACTGCTTGTTTGTTGTCTGCTTTACGTTCAGTGGCAAACATTACATGCATGATCAGGACGATTTATCTCATCGACTTGACGTTCAGTGGCAAATATTACATGCATGATCAGGACGATTTATCTCATCGACTTGACGTAGGTGGAAAATATTACATGCATGTTCAGGACGATTTATCTAATCGACTTGACGTTCAGCGGCAAATAGTACATGCATGGTCAGGACGATTTTCTCATCATGATGACGTTCAGTGGCAAAAGTAACATGCATGATCAGAACGATTTATCGCGTCGACATGACGTTCAGTGATAAATACTACATGCATGATCAGGATGATTTATCTCATCGACTTGACGTAGGTGGACAATATTACATGAATAATCAGGACGATTTATCTCATCGACTTGACGTTCAGTGAGCAAATATTACATGCATGATCAAGAAGATTTGTCTCATTGACTTTACGTTCAGTGGCTAAAATTACATGCATGACCGAGACGATGTATCTCATCGACTTGACGTTCAGTGTCAAATATAGCATTCATGATCAAGACAATTTATCTCATGGACTTGACGTTCAGTTGCAAATATTACATGCATGATCAGGAAGATTTATCTCGTCGACTTGACGTTCAGTGGCAAATATTACATGCATCATCAGGACAATTTATCTCATCGACTTGACGTTCAGTTGCAAATATTACATGCATGATCAGGACGATTTATCTCATCGACTTGACGTTCAGTGGCAAATATTACATTCATGATCAGGACGATTTTTCTATATCAACAGAATAAGTCAATATCATAGGCTTGACAAGCATCACGTTATTAATCAACAGAGGACAGTTCACAATGGGAAAGTTAAAATCCTCACGTTTGTCATAAATATGAGTTTTGATTTGTCCAATTCTGCCAGTCTTGTTATGAATTAAAGTTATAGTAACTGTAGTTTACTAAGGTTAAATCTCATAAATAGATTAAGGATGTTCGCTCCACTGTTTGAAATTAACAAGCTTTTTAAAAGACTGTTATACATTGATAGTATATAAATAATGGAACTTAGAAAGCAGAAAAAATGAAAGGTTTGTGTTCTTGTTTTTGAGATATAAGCAATTGAAAATTTGGCGGGAAATGATTCTCTCTAGACTTTTCATACATTTAACATTGGCATCTTTTTTCTTTCAAAAACTATGAAAAATTTACAAAGATTTTTTGTGATTTCAAAAATGGCTTTTTAAACTATATGTAATAAAATGAGGAAAAGAAAATTTGGGGTTAGCGGGCAAAATTTTTATTGGCACCACATGGATAAAACTAGAGGATTCCGAATATCTGACATAATGTCAAAATTAAGAGTAGCGAACATCCTTAGGAAGACAAATCTAGGTGACAAAAAAAAACTTGGGGAAAAGGAGTGTAAAGGGGGTGTCCTCCTGTTATATGTGCAACTCCTCTTTCTCTCCTTATGGCCGATTCACACTCAGTCAAAATGTAACAATCGGATATTGGACACAGTCGTTAAAGTGAGAGATAAGACGACTATTCTGCTATTATGTAGTTGACCTGTTTTGCTTTTATATTTAACTGCAACGAGCCTCTGAAAGAATTCGTTTTAGGTGTAAACATGTGAATATTTAACAAATGATGAGTTTGTTTTTAAAAGTGCTCTTCACTTCTTATAGAAACATTGCAAGAGTGTAACGAAATGTTCGTGTGTGCATGTATTGTACACGAAATGTGCGTGTGTGCATGTATTGTAAACGTATAAACTATAAAGGAGGAGATGTGCTAAGCTTTTTTTTTGTAAAACATGAAGTGTTGTTTTTGCAGAAAACGATTGCGCGCACACACACCTTTATCCCCGTCACATTCTGTATGTGTCTGTCCCAATTCAGGAGCATGTTATTCATCATTGTTCATTGATTGTTGATGGTTGTAGTCTTATATAATTATTGTTTTTCGTTTATTATGTTGTCTTAAATGCGGCCGTTAGTTGTTTCACATTTGGTCATGTGACCTTTCATACCTTGTTAAACGGTGTTGGATTTTCCCATGGTTGAAGGCCGTACATTGACCTATAATTGCTTAAATCAATGTCATTCGGACTCTTTGGATAGTTGTCTCACTGACAATCATACCACGTCTCCTTAATATATAGAATAGGTAAATGCGAATGTTTAACCGTAACCTCTTTCAAATATTATGAATATTTACGGCGATTTAGCGATCGATAAGAACATTTTTTCTGAAGAAAAAAATCATTTTGACACAGATTAATCTTGATCAAATATTAATTGATATTCAATTCGCTCTTAATATGCGGGTTAAAAAGGGGGGATGCGAATTGAATATGTTTTTTTAACTAAGCGTGTAGAAAAAAACTTTTGATGATATCATACTGTAACTGCATGAGTTTACACACTTTTCTCTGTTCTGTAGTATACACCTGAACTTAAAAATGCAAACAATATCAAACTGTATTTAAACGAATTTCAACTTTCCGGGAAAATTAATATGAAATAATACTTGTAAAGGTAAATCCAGAAAAGCGCTTTGGACGCATGAAATTTGTAACGTGTTGTTTTCATTTTTTACAGCACTGGGTCGATACCTCTGTTGGTAGACCATCAGTCCCCGAGGGTGTCATCGATCAGCTCAGTAGTCGGTATTTCGGTACTGACATGATTTATAACAAACATTTTTAAAATTGTCTGTTAATAAATTTTGAAATTTTAAGAAGACAAAGTTGACAATAGATGGATTTGGCAATTTTTTAGGATTTTTTTGGTCATATAGCTCTTCAACTGTTTCGGTTCTTATACATCCTTGGTTTTCAGATATTCGGATTTGGGCGTTCCTGATGGAGGTAAACCCAGAAAGGTGCCTCGGACGCATGAAATTTATAACGTGTTGTTTTCATTCTTTGTAACGATACAATTGTTCCCACATATATTTATTAGTTATGCACATTAAGATATAAAAATGTATACAAATACCGAACAGCAATGTAAATATAAAAAGAGGAAACTGACAAAACAAAACCATTTTGCAACGCTCGTCTATATCATTCAGCGGAACTCATGGAATACAACTATCTTATTCTTGACTTGTTACAGATAATTCCGAAAAAAATGGTGGGTTGAACATGGTTTTACAGGTAGCTAAACCTGCCAATGTATGAAAGTTGACTAGGGCTACTTAATTCTTCGTTTTAATATATAAGTAGAACTTAATTTCACAAATTAAATATTAAATGATTGAGAAAAAATGAATAAACTAAATCTATAATTATTAATTTTCCAGCTTTGACACCACAACCATTACGTAAGTATACTTTCTCGAATTAGGTTGGTGTCGGGAAGGGGGAGAGTTATATTAAAGGTATTTAAAGCAACAGTTTCAGGTCCCAGACTTTATTCAATAAATATACTGGTTATAGTCATCAATTTCATTACGAGAATGATGAGGGTATTTTTAGACGCGTTTCTATACAAATGTGCTTATCTTTTTGGTTTCACATTTGCAGTGGGTTGCAAGTATGACTTGCGGTACTGTGTTTTACAATTGGTCGTAAATTTTTATCATTTAACCACTAAATAAATTGTTCCATCAAAAATAAAACGCCGCAACTCAATGAAAAATACATTTATTTTCACCTCTTCCAAAAACAGTAGAATGCTAAAATATATCATAAAAAAAGACAAGCTAGAAATAAAAATGTCTATATTTTCATTTCAAGAGAACTCCTTTTATGAAAAATTAATAATAAACCCCTTGGTATTTTAATGTATATACACACATATGTAGGTCTTTAAATTTAATTTACCCGATTGTTTATACTTTAATTAACTTAAACATGGAACCATTGTTTTTGTTTCTTTCGCTTACAGAGAATTTTCTACCCAAAAATTAACTTTAAAAATGTTTCTCCGTACACATGAACATTTTCTACCGTCACTGTATCATATATTGAATCATCTTGTGTTCTTTTGCAGCTGCAGCATTATTGAGAAAAGCTGAGGTTGCGAAGGGAGGTGAATAAAAGACGGCAAAATATTGCAAGAAACTCTGGAAAAAGCTCATCCAAGAACTTATCATCTTTCCGTTATAAAGTCATAAACCATAAAAGTTAGATAAAACCTACACACGTATGATGTTGTCAACTATCATTTGGTCATCTGTAAAAGGATATGAACGGATTGGCAGTCTGAGCATCGTATACAAGAATTTATGAACTCAAGTATCACAGATGCATTTATCCAATTGTACAGATATTGAATCTAATGTACATTTACACGTATGAACTACATTTGTCTTTTTTTATTGATATTTATTACCTAGTATATTATTCATAATTTCAAGTAAATTATTTTAAATATTCTTCCAGTCTGCTATGACGTAGTTTTGAAATGAATAATTGTATGTTGTCACTATATTCGTGTATGTGTTATCTTAATTCAAATTTAATATAATATATTGTACCGTGTTGTGTTGAGAGGGCTTCCATCAACATAACCTGTTGCTGATTTAAATCCAATGTATTTTAATAAAATATTGTTTAAACTATATATTACTCTCAGTATACTTATCTTTACTTGGTTTATAATAGTGTCTACATAAATATATTTTTCTTTAACTTTCTGTAATAGCTAGTATGCAGAAATCTGATTTTGTAGCTATAGTGTATGATAGTGTATTTTACCACAGTGTATGATAATATTTTACCACAGAACAATATTTTTGAGTACAGTGGAATATAAAAAAGTAGCTTGATGAGGTTCCGATTTGTCAAGGTGCTGATTTGTCTTGATACTGAACTGTCTTTCTTGGGTGCCGAAATGTTTTTGTCGCAGTGCCAAAGTGTCTAGAATTCGTCCATGTTATTCCGCAGTCCGCGGACTAAGGAAATGAGAGGGAAAAACACCCATTCTTCTCACTCTGAGATCATCAGTCTATGTTCTTTGTTCTTTGTTTTAAATTATACAAACACAATCAATCGTTTTAAATTATACAAACATTTCAGAAAAATAAAGTGCGATATGAACAAATTTCAGACATGGCTGAATAAAATTCTGTTTTACTCCCATTTCCACTGATCGCAGACTGCGGATTAAACCTCTTGTTGTCGCTAATTAAATATGGTTGCATTCATATCCATGCCAGGAAATACAGAAACTGGACGTCATATATCCAATTTTGACGGCATTCGACATATGACGTCACGCCCTGATGATATTAAATTGGAGACCTATTGAAGAAAAACATTTTACTCTACATTCTTCGGTGTTTTATTTGAAAGAGATGTGGTAATGAAAGTGCCTGCATAAATTAAATATATGGGCACATGTGTCCCTCTGGTGGTATCCGACATTGTCGTCTTCTGAAATTTCAAGCGGATAACAACTGAGGAGTTCTGAAAACAGTCTAAATATGTTCCGAAAGGGGTGTGATACGGGGTATGCGATACGGGTTAAGCTATGAGATGGGGATATGCGATACAGAATAGATGATACAGACTGGAGAAAAGAACCTTTATTAAATATACAAAATGTCTGTATTTAGTACTAAATAAATGATAAATATATATATCGTGGATAGGATGTTATTTTTTGTGTAATTTTGTCTGTTTGAAGTTGTGCTAAAATAAAGTAACGATCTAGACTAAACTTCTATGTCATTTGGTCTCTTGTGGAGAGTTGTCTCATTGGCAATCATACCACATCTACTTGGTTTTTTAAACTTTTACGTTCTTAACTTAATAAATATTAGACAGCTTAGTAAGTGTGCAATGTATATTTTCACACATTGTAAATTTAATACCTTCGAATTGAAGGTCTACAATATTGGCCTCATAATGCATTGTCCATATAGCGTGGAATAAAGTTGCATGCAATAATGATAAATAGGAAAACTTCATAACCGACCGAAATAGCACCTACCATGACATTGCTTTTAATCATATTCACGTGTGAATGTGTAGGGCGATACTCCATGGAAAAAAATTGTTGTGCAAGGTGTATGAGTGGGACAATATTAGAAATATATGAATACAAATACATGTGAGAGAGTGGGAGGGAGGGAGAGAAATTCCGACATTAAAAAATTTATCACCAACATCTATATATGCAGCATTGAATAACATTTAAATTTAACTTAACGGAACTAGTTGGTGGTGTTGGTTTATTGATATTGATAAATGGTTTATTGGCATGGATCAATGCTAGTTGGTTGTGTTGATTTATTGGCATGGATCAATGCAAGTTGGTGGTGTTGGTTTATTGGAATTGATCAATGCAAGTTGGTTGTGTTGGTTTATTGGTGTTGATCAATGCTAGTTGGTGGTGTTGGTTTATTATCATTGATCAATGCTAGTTGGTTGTGTTGGTTTATTGGCATGGATCAATGCAAGTTGGTGGTGTTGGTTTATTGGAATTGATCAATGCAAGTTGGTTGTGTTGGTTTATTGGTGTTGATCAATGCTAGTTGGTGGTGTTGGTTTATTATCATTGATCAATGCTAGTTGGTTGTGTTGGTTTATTGGTATTGATCAATGCTAGTTGGTGGTGTTGGTTTATTGGTATTGATCAATGCTAGTTGGTTGTGTTGGTTTATTGGTGTTGATCAATGTTAGTTGGTGGTGTTGGTTTATTATCATTGATCAATGTTAGTTGGTTGTGTTGGTTTATTGGTATTGATCAATGCTAGTTGGTGGTGTTGGTTTATTGGTTTTGATCAATGCTAGTTGGTTGTGTTGGTTTATTGGTATTGATCAATGCTAGTTGGTTGTGTTGGTTTATTGGCATTGATCAATGCTAGTTGGTGGTGTTGGTTTATTGGCATAGATCAATGCTAGTTGGTTGTGTTGGTTTATTGGCATGGATCAATGCAAGTTGGTGGTGTTGGTTTATTGGAATTGATCAATGCAAGTTGGTTGTGTTGGTTTATTGGTGTTGATCAATGCTAGTTGGTGGTGTTGGTTTATTATCATTGATCAATGTTAGTTGGTTGTGTTGGTTTATTGGTATTGATCAATGCTACTTGGTGGTGTTGGTTTATTGGTATTGATCAATGCTAGGTGGTTGTGTGGGTTTATTGGTATTGATCAATGCTAGTTGGTTGTGTGGGTTTATTGGTATTGATCAATCCTAGTTGGTTGTGTGGGTTTATTGGTATTGATCAATCCTAGTTGGTTGTGTGGGTTTATTGGTATTGATCAATCCTAGTTGGTTGTGTGGGTTTATTGGTATTGATCAATGCTAGTTGGTTGTGTGGGTTTTTTGGTATTGATCAATGCTAGTTGGTTGTGTGGGTTTATTGGTATTGATCAATGCTAGTTGGTTGTGTGGGTTTATTGGTATTGATCAATCCTAGTTGGTTGTGTGGGTTTATTGGTATTGATCAATGCTAGTTGGTTGTGTGGGTTTATTGGTATTGATCAATGCTAGTTGGTTGTGTTGGTTTATTGGCATGGATCAATGCAAGTTGGTGGTGTTGGTTTATTGGAATTGATCAATGCAAGTTGGTTGTGTTGGTTTATTGGTGTTGATCAATGCTAGTTGCTGGTGTTGGTTTATTATCATTGATCAATGCTAGTTGATTGTGTTGGTTTATTGGTATTGATCAATGCTAGTTGGTGGTGTTGGTTTATTGGTATTGATCAATGCTAGTTGGTTGTGTTGGTTTATTGGTATTGATCAATGCTAGTTGGTTGTGTTGGTTTATTGGCATTGATCAATGCTAGTTGGTGGTGTTGGTTGATTGGTATAGATCAGCGCTAGTTGGTGGTGTTGGTTTATTGGCATTGATCAATGATTGTTAGTGGTGTTGCTTTATTGTTTTTTATCAATGCTAGTTGGTTGTGTTGGTTTATTGGTATTGATCAATGCTAGTTGGTTGTGTTGGTCTATTAGTATTGATCAATGCTAGTTGGTGGTGTTGGTCTATTAGTATTGATCAATGCTAGTTGGTTGTGTTGGTTTATTGGCATTGATCAATCCTAGTTGGTTGTGTTGGTTTATTGGAATTGATCAATGCTAGTTGGTTATGTTGGTTTATTGGCATTGATCAATCCTAGTTGGTTGTGTTATTTTATTGGAATTGATCAATGCTAGTTGGTTATGTTGGTTTATTGGGATTGATCAATGCTAGTTGGTTGTGTTGGTTTATTGGTATTGATCAATGCTAGTTGGTTGTGTGGGTTTATTGGAATTGATCAATGCTAGTTGGTGGTGTTGGTTTATTGGAATTGATCAATGCTAGTTGGTTATGTTGGTTTATTGGGATTGATCAATGCTAGTTGGTTGTGTTGGTTTATTGGTATTGATCAATGCTAGTTGGTGGTGTTGGTTTATTGGAATTGATCAATGCTAGTTGGTTATGTTGGTTTATTGGCATTGAGCTAGTTGGTTGTGTTGGTTTTTTGGTATTGATCAATGCTAGTTGGTCGTGTTGGTTTATTGGTATTGATCAATGATAGTTGGTGATGTTGGTTTATTGGGATTGATCACCAAATAAAGTTGAGTCTCTCACGGTTTTTGTTTTCTTATACATTGTACATGTATGTGCTAGCAAATATAATCTTAAGCACAACATGTGACTGCACAGTAAATTTATCATCAGACTACACAATTTAAGACCATACACACGACTATCATATCAAGTAATCAAGTACAGTTATTGAACCTTGCAGACAGATAAGAAATCTATTCCTCGTGTACATTTATTTACATTCACATTTCGTTCGTCTGCCATCGAGTGGCCACGTTCTAGGACATTTCTTGACATGTTGTTTGCAGGTATTGTTCTGACAGTTCTTCATCAGGGTATGTTCTTTTTGAAAATATAGACAATTAACGTATCTGTTAGAATAGTTTTAACTCCTACATGTCAGGTTTTTGGCTTGACATGCGTGTTGATTAAATCAAAATGTCATATCAAAGTGTGCCCTACAAATCAAACATGGTGGAAGTCTTCTGTGACATACGCATATATTGAAATTGTTTGGATTCGTGGTAAATGTTCATTATTTTTTATAGCTTTTTTGCAATACTATGAGGTAAAAAAAAGTTTGTTTGAAAATTTGGTATAAGATTAATTAAATTGTTCACTAGAGTGAACATTGTGTTCATGATATCCTGCAGGAACACAAAAATATGGTGTTGACCCAGAAAAAAATATTCCCCTTAAGGATGTTCGCTACTCTGTTTCAAAATAACAAGATTTTTAAAGACTGTTATAAATTGATAGTATATAAATAAAGGAACTGAAAAAGCAGAAAAAATGTAGGGTCCGTGTGCTTGTTTTAGAGATATAAGCCATTGAAACTTTGGCGGGTAATAATTCTCTCTAGACTTTCTTACATTTAACATTGGCACCCTTTTTCTTTCAAAAATTATGAAAAAATAACAAGGATTTTATAGGATTTTCAAATATGGCTTTTTAAACTATTAGTAATAGAATTATAAAAAGAAAAGAAGGGGTTAGCGGGGAAAATTTTTTAATGACACTACATGGATATAAACCAGAGGATTCCAAATATCTGGCAAAAATTCAAAAACAATCCTTAAATGTCACATTGTTAAGTGCATTTGACAGATCAATGCCTAAGCTTTACGCCGTTTAAAATATACATTGTATAACAAATTGTAGTGTCGGCTCTTGTGGTCTATAATCAGGGTCAATATTGATACTCTTTCAGACCAACCTTAATGCGTTTCCAAAAAACTTTAAATGCATGTAGTTCATTTTCACGTAAAATTCAAACTTATGTAATTCAATAACGATTTAAAGAATATCCTTGAGGTCTCAAATAATCATCCGTTACCGTTATTTCTGGAAACTAAGTCAGAATTTAACGTGACTCGTCAAAATCAGCCGATTTCTTAATCGTCATAAAGAAAAAAAAGGTACATTTTATCGTCATGCACCATCAATTATCGTTAACGTCATTCGGCAAGATTTTTTTTTATCGTTATTCCTCATGAAGGTACCCCCATTGGTATATTTGTTCTGACTGGGCCTGAATTGGTGGTTTTACACCTAAAGGTATAGAATCTAATTATTTAAGGAAAAACGCCTAGTGGAATATTTCAAATTTGCCTGGAGGGAATTGTACGAGACAAATGTTATAATAAATATATAACTGATAAGAAAAGGTTTAATTGCATATATAGGGTGCATTTCTTTCTAACCAAAATTTTGTAAACGTTGTGTGCCGTTTGTTATCGTTTGCTAAACGCTACAAAAGTAGAAACAAATACAGCGTTTAATCAGTGTTTACTGACCCTGTTTAAACTTTCAATAATACATGCAAATGTTGTTGGTAAACAGACTTATTACAACAGTTGAAACAAACACATCGTTTAATCAGGCTGAAGTTAGAAACAAATGTAGCGTTTGTACTACATTGTGTAACAAACGATGAACGACAAACTGTAGACGCAGTTTTAGCGAGTGCATAGTTTGTCAAAGTTTAGGTAAACTTTGAAAAAGTATGTTAGAAACAAATGATCAAAACATGTGCGCGCTTAGCCGTTTGTATCGTTTGTGTTAGAAAGAAATGCACTCATAATCTAAGAATTCTTACCTCTTAAATAACAGTTCAAAACTGGGAGATAAATTTGGAATAAGACTTGCTACACATTAGACCTACTTATATGTTTCATTTTTTTATTTTCTCGTCGCGATATAGCCTTTTTCTGCTGATGCGGCGTAAAGGAATCACCAGTCAATCAATTTTATTTTCTATATCTAAATTCGGTACACAAATTTTTTCTGAATATGGTATACAAAATTGTTGATCCAAGAAAAATGAAAATAAGGAGATGTCTGGTCTTTCAATTCCAATAAACCTTTTGTTACACACATATTCATTAAGAACAAAATAGTTTACAATAACAGGTCAATGTTTAAAAGGGACAACTATTTAATATTCCTGGAATGGGGAGGTGGCGGGGCAGTCAACTTTTAAAAATGACATCTTAGTCTTAGATGCATGACTTTATATCATTAGTTGTTATTGGCTTTGAACTAGCTGTCAGTAACTGCGAGTGCTCTCAGATCTGTACTTAGTGTCTTTCTGTTGTGGGGATGTATAAATACCCAGCTGCCTCGTCCACTCTGTGTTTTTGTTAGATGTATTTCTGTTTTGTATCGATCTGATGAGTTAAGCCTTTTCAACTAATTTTTATAGTTTGTTCTTATGTTGTACTGTTTCACCACTGTATCAGGTATGGGTAGGGTTGGCGCGTCTTCAAACTAGTTTAACCCCGCCACATTCTGTATGTGCCTGTCCCAAGTCAGGAGCCTGTAATTCAGTGGTTGTCGTTTGTTGCTGTAGATCATATTTGTTTTTCGTTCATTATTTTGTACATAAATCAGGCCGTTGCATGAATGAGCAACATGTAATAATCAATTTTAATTTCGTCTTATTTTTGGAAATTAACTAAAAACTAAAGGATAATTTATTTGAAAATGTTTTACCTTCTCATTTTATGTCTCTTACCAAGGTACACACAGTAAAAGAAATGCTAAACCCCTTTTTCATTGAACATGTGAAAAATATTGGCTCCTTTATAAAACAGTCATTAGAGCTGAGGGCAGAAGTCTGACTTTTTTCCATGTGTTTATTTCTTATAGAATTGTAATTTTTTGCTATATTATGTTTGTTTTTGTTTTTTGTCACAAACTAATTATGTTTATATGACAATAAAGTTATTAATATTATAATAGACATAGTTTTCTCGTTTGAATTGTTTTACATTTGTCATTTCGGGGCCTTTTATAGCTAGCTATGCGGTATGGATTTTACTCATTGTTGAAGGCCGTACGGTGACCTATAATTGTTAATTTCTGTGTCATTTGGTCTCTTGTGGAGAGTTGTTTTATTGGAAATCATACCACCTTCATATTTTTATATATGACATTGCAACTTGCAAAAAAGAATTATCTTTCAAAAAGCAGATTGAAAATAAATATTATATTACACAAAATATCTACGATAAGGTATAATAAAAGGACGGCATTATAAGTATATCAAGTACTTTTAGCATCCTCTGGGTATCTTTCAAGCTGGGCTTTCATGATTCGCTTTTATTCATATATTACGTTTTTCAGCTTTTAAAGGTTTGTTGTGCAAAGGCAGATAACGGATAGGTGCTGTTGAGGATGTTCGCTCCTCTTGTTTTTGAATTTTTGCCAGATATTCGGAATCCTCTGGTTTTATCCATATAGTGTCATTAGAAAAGTTTGCCCGCTTAACCCTACTTTTCTTTTAATATTTTTATTACATATAGTTTTAAAACTTGAGCCATATCTGAAAATCTTATAAAATCCTTGTTATTTTTTCATAGTTTTTGAAATAAAAAAAAGTGCTAATGTTAAATGTATGAAAAATCTAGAGAGAATTATTTCCCGCCAAATATTCAATGGCTTATATCTTGAAAACAAGCACACGGACCCTTCATTTTTTTCTGCTTTTCTAGTTCCTTTATTCATATACTTTTAATTTATAACAGTCTTTTAAAAATCTTGTTATTTTGAAACAGAGTAGCGAACATCTTTAAACTTATTTATAACGTGTCTAGATATAAAACTACTCAGATGTAAACATTAAGCCTCATTTAGTATAGACATTTTGTCTGTTTTTGAAGACCGTTTTTATTTTGACCACTAGATATCGTTTAACATAGTTATTGTTCAATTGAGGTGCATTTACACCTTTAAACGTCCAATCTGATTAAAATACAGATTATGTATCCACGGTTTTGCTTACAAGAATCTGAAAACACTCCATTCGGCTAACTCATTATTGTGCATAAACCAATTTTAAGGTGTGTGCATGTATCATTAGGACAAAACCAGAAGATCCCGAAAGGTTTTTTAAACAGAAAGTAGAACGAAACGTATTCAGATCCTTGAAAGCAGGTGTGGATCCAGGATTTTGAAAATGAAGGGGACCTTGGCAAACCAACATTTGGAGTGTTACTTATAAACAAGTTTATGCATTTATCATAATATGGCCCCTGGTCCCCTCTTAAATCCGCCTCTTGAAAGAGTTTTAATCAGATCGATATACCCAATATATTTGTTTTCATTTCATTTACTTTTCAGTACTTGCCGATTATACTGACCCTCAATGTGGTGGAAAACAAGCAATTGTCCACTTATTTGAGTGGAAATTTTCTGACATTGCAAATGAATGTGAAAGATATCTTGGAAAGAAAGGATTTTGTGGTGTGCAGGTATATGGAATATCTATAATACTAAAATAACGAGGTCCAATTTGTTAGCCTCAGTTGACAATGTTTTCTCGGGGTAACAATCTGCTCTATCACCCTCTCAGCTATGTGTTATTTATATAATGTCGTTTATGGAATACATAAATCACACATATATCGTTTATTGAATGTATCGTTAGTTAATTTTCTCCAAACTTGTATACCGTGAATTCATTATTATTCGTTGGATACCATTTTTTTTTTTTATTTCATTGATACAGAGGAAACCATGAATTTAAATGTTTAATGAGTTACAAATTTTCTATAGGAAATATGAAGACTTTTACAAAACGACCAAATCAAATATCCACGAAAAGGCAAATATTCCGCATTCCGCAATCCAGGAAAACAGGTACCAACAGAAATAAATAAATCCACAGTAGATGATCTCCCATCCAGACCCTCTACTTTGCATGAATGAACAACATGTAATAATCAATTTTAATTTCGTCTTATTTTTGGAAATTAACAAAAAACTAAAGGATAATTTATTTGAAAATGTTTTACCTTCTCATTTTATGTCTCTTACCAAGGTACACACAGTAAAAGAAATGCTAAACCCCTTTTTCATCGAACATGTGAAAAATATTGGCTCCTTTATAAAACAGTCATTAGAGCTGAGGGCAGAAGTCTGACTTTTTTCCATGTGTTTATTTCTTATAGAATTGTAATTTTTTGCTATATTATGTTTGTTTTTGTTTTTTGTCACAAACTAATTATGTTTATATGACAATAAAGTTATTAATATTATAATAGACATAATTCGAACGCATAGTATATAGTACTGTTCACGTTCTTTAGAGCTTGGCCTTTATTTCAACAGAGATATGTCTCGCAAAACGTCTGGATATCATTGAGATTTGTAAACTTTGAAAGTACTAAAAGCTTACTTTATTTCAGACCTCTCCTGTAAATGAGTATACCGTAATTACGAAAGAATACATACGACCTTGGTGGGAACGTTATCAGCCAGTCAGCTACAAAGTAGCATCACGAAGTGGAAACGAGGCTGAATTTAAAGATATGGTTGATAGATGTAAAAATGTAGGTGTAAGGTATGCGAAATAGATTTTTACATATGTGCATGCCCGTGTGTATTAACGTTTCGATTAATGACAAATCTTTAGTACAAATTACTTCAGACACGAGTTTTCCTTTAGGTTTCTTTACGTTGCTGCGGCATTGTCGTTTTATCCATTTATGTTTTTCATTCTCTATTGGGTCTCGTCTGCTGAACTTCACGTAATGAAAATTTAAAGCATAAAAATACTTGTTCAAAATGTTGGCTAGAAAATTTGGTGTTGGTGTCAAATTATTCAATATTTTTTTTCAATTTTTTAAACTTTAATTGATTTAAGAACTTGTATTGTGTAGACTCTCATCCATAGTGGAGGACCAAATGTTTCACTCTGGACATTTTATGTGTATGTGTGTCGTAGACTCTCTCACAGATGGATACTATTACGTCGACAACCGATAACGCGTGTGACTTAGCATAATAAGACATTCTAGACGCGGTGTCATAGGTACCTATTTATTTTGAACTGCATTTCATAAAAAAAAAAACAAAAATGCAATTTAGTCATATTAAAAGATAATAGAAATAAATCTGTCACAGTCTAAACAAGACATGTGTCTCAAACTTGTTCATTTATGTATTTCCAGGATATACGTCGATGTTGTTATAAACCACATGGCGGGGCTAGGTAGAACTGGGAAGGGTACAGGCGGATCATCATTTGATTCAAGCAACTACGATTTCCCTGGTGTCCCATTTTCCCGCCAACATTTCAATGATAAAGATAAATGTCCATCTCATGATGGAATGGTAAACAACTATGGCGATCCTAACAATGTCCGAAACTGTTTTCTGGTCGGATTGACGGACCTCGACCAGAGACAGGAATACGTACGTAATAAGATAGCAGGCTTCTTCAATCACCTAATTGATCTCGGGGTAGCTGGTTTTAGAGTAGACGCGGCCAAACATATGTGGCCTGGAGATATTTTAGCAATTCAGAAACTTACAAAAGATCTTCCTGAAGGGGGAAAGCCCTTCTTTTACCATGAAGTTATAGACCAAAATGACGGTGCAATCAAAGTCAATGAATATTATCCAAATGGTCGTGTCACAGAATTTAGATTCTGTCAAAAAATTGCACAAGGAGCACGTAACTTTGGAGAATTAGGCGGCGTCTACGATCCAGGATGGGGCATGGCTGATTCTGCCCATGCTTTCGTTTTTGTTGACAACCATGACAACCAAAGAGGTCATGGAGGTGGTGGAAATAGAGTCACACATAAAACTCCACGTGATTACAAAATAGCGGTTGCTTTCATGTTAGCAAATGACTATGGATTTCCTCGAATAATGAGTAGCTATTACTTTGGAGATGATTCGTCACAAGGACCACCCCACAACTCGGATTATAGTATAAAGGATGTCACAATAGAAAATAACGGAATGTGTGGTAACGGTTGGGTATGTGAGCACCGATGGAATCCGATTGGAAACATGGTTGCTTTCCGAAATGCTGTTACCGGAACATCGAAAGTTCATTGGAGAGACCAAAATGATCAAGTGTCTTTTGCAAGGGGGAACAAAGGATTTTTTGCTATGGCCAAACAGGGACATATGGACGAGACCTTACAAACTGGACTCCCTGCTGGAGAATATTGCAATCTCATAACTGACTGCAAAAAGAAGATAACAGTCGACGGAAGCGGAAATGCTCATATTGTTATTGACAATAGTGAAGAGCCAATACTTGCATTCATCGTTGGTATGTTTGATTAATTTATGTCTCGATTATTCTTACCATTTAGGTAAGTAAAATGATGATGCCAAAAGTTACACTGATGCCAAGTAAAATAATAAGACAAAACCAAAAAGTTAAGTTTCTGTCTTTAAAAGGCAGCAAGTTATCTTCTATCTTTTTTGTTTATTTTAAGGATTGTTTAGCTTCAGTTTAAGGATTGTTTAGCTTCAGTTTAAGGACAAGTTTTTGTTTTCAAAACTTTCAAAAAGTGCCAAAAAAAATTAAAGATGGTCAAATATGAAATCAGGGTAAATCAGAAAATAACATTGTTTAGATGAAGTAGATATCAAAGGTAAAAAAAAATCCATGAAGATATACAAGATTAAAGTGATTACAAAATGGCGTTGCTTTCATGTTAGAAAATGACTTATACTTAGTGTATGGTGTCAAAACAAATTTTAGAAATAAAGTGATTGGAATTTATCTACACACCTGATGAAAAGCATAGAATCGAGATTGGTAAAATATATAAAAAAAATAAGCAATTCATGAAAGTTCGAAATTGAATGAAGAATCGGGAAAATATATATATAAAGGACTTTGTTACCAATGAAAAATAACTACTCTGCAGTTCTCGCTATGCCTACAATCACTTTAGAACAGGCGTTGTGAGAATCACCAAGTAGTTAAATTGCCATCATGCTAAAAAAGAAATATACGATTCTCGCAAATTTGAATCCGATTATTAAATGAAGAAAATCGAATATGCAACAATAACCTCTGGGAGCTCATCAGGTAGCACCTGTCTCATATTAGTTTATTGCTATTATATTTTCCTGCATCATATTTTGCCAGGTGGACCATCCACACCTTCTAATAATGGAGTTCATTCTGGTACGTCAAATACTAACAGTTCCGGTTCCGGAAGCGGTACCGGCACTGGAAGTGGCACCGGAACAGGAAGCGGAAGTGGAATAGTTTCTCCAACAAATGGACCAGTTCCGAAAGGATTTCAAAGAACCATAATTCTTTTCGAGGGACGAACATCTCCTGGACAGGACTTGTTTATAAGAGGCGGAATAGATGAAGGTCATAGGCAAGGTGAGTCAGATATAAATGTAACAAGCCAAGTAAAGATTACGAAAAAAAAAATATTTAAGAAATATTACTCCAGAGCCATTACACAGAACCGATCTATGTTACTGAAATTAGACATTATTGATCGTCTGTCTCGAGACTTTTCTTTAACATATGAAGTGGTGTACTGTTCCTATGTTTTTCCTATGGAAAAATGATATGAAGATCTAACATTCATTTACCAAACCAAAATAAGAACAAAATACGAATTAAGGATGTTCGCTACTCTGTTTCAAAATAATAAGCTTTTTAAAAGACTGTTATAAATTGATAGTATATAAATAAAGGAACTGAAAAAGCAGATAAAAATGAAGGGTGCGTGCGCTTGTTTTCGATATATAAGCCATTGAAAATTTGGCGGGAAAACAATCTAGATTTTTCATATATTTAACATTGGCACCTTTTTTCTGTCTAAAAGTATGAAAAAATAACAAGGATTTAATAAGATTTTCAAAGATAGTATTTTAAATTATATTTAATCAAATTATGAAAAGAAAAGTAGGGGTTAGTAGGCAAAAATTTGTAATGGCACTATATGGATAAAACCAGAGGATTCCGAATATCTGGCAAAAATTCAAAAACAAGAGGAGCGAACATCCTTAAATTCACCTGTGCGGTCATATTTTTAATTCTAATGAAGCACAAATGAGAATTAATTTAATTAAAGTACAACATAGCTAGGTCTTATACCTGATTTTTGGAACAAGCATTGTCCAGCGAAAACTACAATACTTTTTTTGAAAGGGTGTCCGTGGACTATTCGTTTGAAATGTTTGTTAACCTCTATGTAATGTGGTCTATGGTGGAGAGTTGTCTCATTGGCAATCGAACCACATCTTTTTATGTTTTATTTTAACCAAGTTTGGTCCCTTTTACACCATTTATCTTAAAAACCATACAAAAATACTTAACAGTGTTTTAAAGGGACTAGCCATAATTACAATTCCCGACTGCATTTTTTTTAAATAACAAGAATCCAAATGTGAACATCGTTATTTTAAGTCATGAGAACTCGTGATATATATAATATTTTTTTTAGAGAATTGCACTTTATGAACATTTTAATAGGATCGGTTTGAGATACTAATGAAGGTAAGGCCAGAAAAGCTCTTCGGACGCACGGATCAATAAAGTATAATGTTCGTTTATGAATTTATAATTTAAAATGCACCTTGTGTTTTGGGATGATACATTTTGCACCTTGAAGTAGAGTTTGCATATTCATGTTCTTTGAATATCTTATAAATGTGGAATTTCTAGAATACTGTCCTCGTTCATCATATGAATCAACTTGAACCTTTAAGAACAAAAGGTATGCATTCATTTAATACATCAAGAAATGCCTGAAAGTACTGAATAGCCATAAACTTTATGAGAATATTATACACTAAAGTAACATCCAGAAAGATAAATAAAATTGCTACCTTTCTACAATTACAAAGAATGAAGTTTTGATGTAAATTTCTTAATTTTTTGTTGTCAAAATTATTATTCAACATGGAAAATGACTAAAGGTAGGTTTACAACAGAAGTTAAGTTTTAAAATATCGCGATAACACTGGCCCTGAAATAATTAAACAAATGCTCATTTTTTCTAATGTTGCAGGATGCCAACATACAGCTTCCTCTAGCGCATGTGCAATACCAATAAAAAGTCATGATTTAGGATCCAGCGACCACTTTGCAAAGTATAATGCCTGGCGACAAGGTGACTCTTACCTAGACTGGTACGGAGCAGAACCAGGACAAGGAGATTATCATGGTCAAACTCCACAAGGAACACCAGCTGTTTGGACTACAAACCAACCTGGAAAACCCGGATATAATGAACTTAACTCGTAATTATAAACTGTTTGATTTGGGTATTGTTATTGCTTAAGATATTCGACTTTTTAAAGGGTGGGTTGGGATGTTAATACTATTACTATATATTAACGTATCATTCGAGTATTCCGATTTCCAAAACAACATTTTTAAATTGAATATACGAACTCGACACTTAACCTTGCATGATGAGTTACAAATTGTCATATGAAATGAGTTAACTTGGATCAAAGACAACTCTTTAACAAAAATGTTTATTTGGGTAATAAATATTTTTAAGCGTGTATGAGAAACAGAATTAACACCATTTATGTTATCTAGAATTTTTGAATATAGTTATGAAAATGCATGTTTGACACAAACGTACCGGTGATCCAAAAAAGGTGTGTCCCTTAACCTAGATCTTCCTTCTGAAACAAAACTATATAACGACGTACGATATATATGCTTTAAATATTTTTTAGATACGGAGAACATTTCTGGTTAGTAGATATTGAAATGGACTGCGACAAAACTGAAAATGGATGGTTCGAGGTAAAAGCCGTTATTAATAATAACTGGGAGAGCAATGTTCCCGGAAGCTCTTGTCACTATGGAAACGTTCCATATAGAAGCCAGAACCACTGGGCAAGATGTGGAATGAAAAACGTGCTTCATTTTAGTGCAGTCAACTGTGAAATATCTGAAATACCAACAAGTTAATAAACATAATAAATATCAAATTATCAGTGTTTTCCTTAATGTGCTATTTTCAAAACCAAGAACATTATACTAGTAGGCTTTGAGAATCAAGTTCCAAAGTACAATGATAGCTGAAAGCAGTACAAAAAATCTGAGGACAGGCCTCAGGTGTCAAACGTTTTAAACAAAAATGAGGAGATGTGGTATGATTGCTCACGAGACATATATCAAACAGATTTAACACGAAGTTGTAGTACGCAATTGTAGGCAACCGTTGGCCTTCAACAATGAGCAAAACCAATATCGTATAGTCGGCTATAAAAGGTTCGACATGAAAAATGTGAAACAATTCAAACAAAAATTAAAGGCCTTATTTATAATAACAGAATGATTTACGAAAAACAAATATGGCAGATATGAACCAACGAAACCAATGTACCACAGACTCCTGACTTATGAGAAGCACATACATAAAGTGGTTGGGTTAAAAATGTTTGTGAGCGCTTACTCCTCCCCAAACCTTAGACAGTGGTGTTATTACACAAGATAAGAACAAACCTTTAATTAAGATCACCTCAATTTTAGATAAATGTACTGGGATTAATTCACTATCAGTGTCACTTACTGGAACGTCCATTATAATAGATTAACCAAAGAGGGTCTGGATGGGGTTTACAGAATAGAGAATAATAGACAAAAAGTGCAAAATAATGGGCAAAACATAAAGAATAGAGAAAAATAGGCACACAAATAAAGAATAGAGAATAATGGGCAAATTGAATAGAGAATATAGAAAAATGGTCTAAACAATAAAGAATAAAAAAAATGATGCCATCAAATCTTAAGTGGCATTTCTCAAAAAGAAGAACTAGCTACACCGAGAATTAACCACACGTATAACATCTTAAACAGGTAGTGATTTCAGGCGTATACAGGTCCTTCTACACTTGAGACACCCTTCGTGTAAAACTTCCCGACTAAAGTTTGTCATCGGAGTAACGCGTTCAATCCTCAGCTGGGTCAAACCAAAGACTTTAAAATTGGTATGTGCTGCCTGCTTCATTGCTAAACACGCGGTATTAAGGAGTAAGAACAACTATTGGTCGGCTCGGAGTTAGTATCATATGTCTGGGTATGGTATGTGTTTAACTTACCTTGAGAACAAGCATGTAGGAATATGCCTCAGAGTGTCGGTCAAGTACAAAGCATTGTTCATATTCATTTTGCATTAACATGTTCTCGTCCTGATCATTCATTGAAAGTGGCGGATCCAGAAATTTTCATAACTGACTGCCTAAGAAGGGACCAGTCATGCTTCAGTGATTCCCTATAAAATCAACCAAATTTTTCCCACAAAAGGCGGGCGGACCTTTGCAACAACTCTTTGAGGGGTCCGTAGGTGACATGTTGCAAGGCTAAATTTCTGTCCCTATCAAATATACCCTCATTTCCCGTGGCAGTCTAAATTTCCCCGACCTAATCCTTGACGCTCTATTACAGAGCCTACCTATTGTTTTTATTGTTAATTTGTTCTCGTCCTGAATATGCATGAAATATTTGCCACTGGACGTTAAGCAACCAACAATCAATCAATCAATCGCTAGAAGAGACTTAAAAAAAAATAAAAAACAAAAGGACGCCATATAAAAACATCTACAAATCACTCTATATCTTTTGTAGCTGCGGAACCGAAGCTCTTAGGTCCTTGTGATATTTTTTGACTATCATCGAAATCGCGGGAGATACTACGCAATCTAGACATATCAAATGTCATGACACATGTGCATATAACAAACAAACAAAAAAATCGAACATCGATTACAAAAGTAAAGCATACAACAATACGGTAATTCGTCTAAAACCGAAAGTAAATAATAATAAGTGCTCTGGCAGGACAAACTTATCCTAGGTACCATGCCACACTGCGATACTGCTTTATCAGTGGTCAAACGCAGTGATGAGTCAAAAATAGTAAGGGATAACATTGGGTCAAACAACATACAAAAACGTGCAGAAGTATGATTAGAAAGAAATGGTTAGTATATGTAAATGAGACAGCAACCTGGCGACAAAATTTATAGGCAGTGCAACATGAAAACACCTTTTCTCATCAAAACAGGAAATTATATTAGGTGCGCAGAAAGGGTAAGACAGTCCTATTTCTCCTGAATAGACAGTGGTTCTACTAACCAAGTCAAGTTTAATAAGTATATATATTCTTATTCGATAGAGGATACAATTGACATGTGTAAACCAACATGGAGCACTTATGAAAATATGTCCGTTTTGTTTACACATTGATTTACAAACAAATCATTGTTACAACCTTCCTTATTCATGTTATTGTTTTAAAACGTAATGGAATATACCATAAATGGAAAGTAAGTACTAAATCATTTCGGCTGTGAAGAGATGTTAATATAAAAAAGAAGATGTGTATGATTGCCAATGAGACAACTCTCCACAAGAGACCAAATGACACAGAAATTAACAACTATAGGTCACCGTACGGCCTTCAACAATGATCAAAGTCCATACCGCACAGTCAACTATAAAAGGCCCCGAAATAACAATGTAAAACAATTCAAACGAGAAAACTAACGGCCTAATTTATGTACAAAAAATGAACAAAAAACAAATATGTAACACATAAACAAACGACAACCACTGAATTACAGGCTCCTCACTTGGGACAGGCACATACATACAGAATGTGGCGGGGTTAAACATGTTAGCGGGATCCCAACCCTCCCCCTAACCTGGGACAGTGGTGTAACAGTACAACATAAGAACGAACTATAAAAATCAGTTGAAAGAGGCTTAACTCATCAGATGGATAAAAGTACAAATACTACAAATACAAGTGGACGTGGCCGGGTAATTGTAATTAGCATGTTATGAAAATCATTATATATCATCCTTGTTTTGCCTTCTTGTTACTATTTAACACTGGCATTCAAGGACTTTATTGCCGCCATATATATAAAAATAGGAAGATGTGGCTTAATTGCCAATGAGACAACACACCACCAGAAACCAAATGACATAGAAGTTAACAAATATAGATAGAAGTTAGCAACTATAGGTCAACGTAGGGCCATCAACAATGAACAAAACCCATACTGCATAGTCCCGAAATGACAAATATAAAACAACTAAAATGAGAAAACCAATGGTCTAATTTATGTGAAACTGAAAAAATGTCAACCAACGAATTACAGGTTCCTGGCTGCGGTCAGGTACATACAGAATATGGCGGGGTTAAACATGTCTGTGGCCTAATCTGGGACAATGTTGTAATAGCACAACATATGAACAAACTTAAAATCAGTTGAAAAGTGCTTAACTCATTAGATCTATACAAAGAAGAAAAACAAGTAACAAAAACACAGACCAGACGTGGCAGGGTATTTATACATCCCCACAACAAAAAAAAGACACGAAGTACAGATCTGAGAGTATTCGCAGCTACTGGCAACAAGTTATAAGGCAATAACAAGTAATAAGAAAATTATGTATTTAAGACTAAAATATCAATCAGTCCTTTTTTAATATATCAACAACTTGTTTTTTATATCAATAACCTTATTTAGCTGATACGGCATATAAGAGATCATCAATCAATTAATGTAAAGACTCTACTTATTCCATGCAAGTTAGTTTTACTTTTCGTAACTAAAAACGGAATCCCCAAACGTTTCACACTTAGATATCGTCTGACAGTTTAGTTTACAACGACCTATATATTCAAATCATTTGACTCTATTAATCACTGATAAAGCAATAGGCCTGTCTTGCTGTCTTGTGACCGATACATTATCAGGTCACAGTGGGAATTTTACCTGCAGACGACAGTAGACAATGTTTACCTTTGGAATTATAGTAGTGATATATTTGCACATAGGTAATTGATATTTCCTTTGATGTTTAAACTGATAAACGTTTGACCAAGAAGATAAGTTTAGCAAATTTGATGGATTTCTTTTTATTCAAGTTCTAAAAAAGCGAGTAAAACATGTGTAGTAATTTAGGTTTAAGTCCTTGTTGGAACTATACAATAACTAGAGGCTGCCTTATCATTATATGTTTTATTGATTTATTTGACAAATGTAGTGTTAGAGTAGAACTGAAGATCTGTAAAATTTTATTCAACTTTTATAGATCATGTAGATTAGGGATTGCCTCATAGGTCTCAAGGTAGCGGGCTCGTCTCGATTGTGAGAAGTTGTACGCTCGGTTTCGAACCCCAGCCGGGTCAAACAAAAACAAAATGAAAATTGTAATTTGATGCTTCTCCTCTAAGTACGTGACATTCAGCAGTAATAATAAAGACTGGTCGGCTCAGAGTCAGAATATTGTGTCTGCCAGGGTAAGGTGACACGTCTGACAGCGGACTAGTACCTTATGAACAAGAACATAAAAATTTCCGGCTCAGCGTGTCGGTCCAGTAAATTGCAGAGTTTATTATATTCATAAAACATATTGATGTTCTCGTCCTTAAAATGCATTTAATTTGCCACTGGACGTTAAACAGCCATCCATTCATCCGTCATTATCATGATATCGTCATGAATATGTATTTAATTAATTTGCCACTGGACGTTACACAGTCATCCATCGTCATCATATTGACTAGGAACAATTAAGAGCTTGACACATTGTGTAGACATCTGCCTATTATTGAAGGCTTTGTGTAGCCTCTAGCTGTCTTTTGGTTATTTTAGTCGTTGAGTTGTTGTCTCGTTGACATTTATCCCACATTATTAAATGTATTCGTATTTCACTTGTCTTTAACAATGGATTGTTTATTATAAATGTGGCACCAATTTTCGTGGATTTTTTCGTGGGTGAAAGTAAATATGAAAATAAGAAGATTTGGTATGATTGCCAATGAGACAACTCTCTACCAGAGACCAAATGACATAGAAGTTAACAAATATAAGTTTCCGTACGGCCTTCAACATTGAACAAACCCATACCGCAACACAAATTTAGATGTTTAACGACATATAAATTTTCTTTAGGAGTGTAAGAAAAGTTTGACAAAACCACAAATTTAAATATCCACGAAAAAAAGAGTTTACACTTAATTCACAAAAAATGGTATCCATGAAAGAAAATGAATACATTTTCTAATTTTATTCCTTCGCACAGCTACCACCAAAACGCAAGTTGAATATGGAGATCCTCATTGTGATGGAAAACAGGTAATAGTTGAGTTGTTTGAATGGCGGTTTGCTGACATTGCTGATGAATGTGAACGATTCTTAGGCGATAAAGACTTTTGCGGTGTTCAGGTACGTTTTATATGAGTGTTTTTTATCTTGTTTTATTGTAATATTAATAGATAAATTAGGAATTATATGGGAAGTCTTGACAGGTCTTCTAACTTTTCATATGTTCATCCTAAATATACCCGTATGTTGAAGGGGAGAAAAGACATGCGCAAACAAATAATTATTTTCCTCTTTTTAGAACAATAATAATGAAAAGACTTTCAATGAAATAATATTAAATTGCAAGTTTTGTTTACTCGTACTTTTAACCCTTGCAGACCCTAGTTTTCTTGATATTGAAATCCGTTAAAAAAGTCTTTAAAAAAATTCGAATCGCTTCTAACGAAATAAGTAAAAGATATCGAGAGTACATGCAGAAACCAGAATTCGAAGAAAAACAGACGATATAATGACCAAAAAAGGAAAATCGACGAATATATAAATCCATTAAAAATAAGAGGAAAAACAGATGGAGCAAAACGAACCCAACTAACAACCTCATATGAAGAAAAAAAATTAACAGAATGCATTACGTAAGTGCAAATAATTAAAAGAAATGTTTTACCTAATATATAAAATATATGCATTATATATAGCACATATTGAACAGGAATTGCTTACCCTTCCGGAGCACATGAGTTCAACCCTTGTTTTTTTTTAGAATTCGTGGTGCTCAATCTTATGTGTTCTACGTAGTGTTTTGTTGACTATTTCGTCATTTTTTCGATTTTTTTTCCATGACGTTGTCAATTTTACTTCGACTTATGAGTTTTGAATGTTCACTTAGTATCTTTCGTTTATTTTTTTAAAACAAATGATTAATTCATTTCAGGTTTCACCGGTCACCGAACATGTGGCTATTTTTGACCGGCCTTGGTATGAGAGATACCAACCAGTCAGTTATAAAATCGAATCGAGGAGTGGAAACGAAACAGAATTCAAAGATATGGTTGACCGTTGTAAAAATGTAGGAATCAGGTACATCTTATTTGAATAAAACCACGTGTTAAAAATTGCATGCGCATAACATGTATTTCTGCAACATCCGTCATCTGTTGCACCCGTGACCCACCATTTATTAACGTATCATTAGTATAAGTATTACTGCTTTTTCTAACTTGATTGTGTAAACACCTTTGTAAATTTGACCAATCGAATGACAGAAACAATTCTTCAAATTCACAAATTGTCATTTTAATCGCATGTCCGCTTGAAAATACAGGCTTCGTGATGTTTGTACGTCCGCCCGTACTTATTTTAGTCCATATATACTAAAAAATTGCTTCGAACCGGTCCATTATTTTATCTAAACTTATAACATTGTGTTGCACAACCTATCGTGACTAGCTTGGTGTTCATAGCTTTGTAAATTTATAAATATCGGAGTGTTAGTTTACATTATAAAAAAAGGATATATAACGTTATAATTCAAAATAGGAAGTTTTAAGGCTTATTCAAAAACTTATTAAAGCAAAAATATCAAATTATCTTGTATGCAATTGATTATCTAGTGAATATACTCTTCCATCATGTCTATGTGACGTATTGTATGCGGTCAGTTGCAATGTTTGAAATATGTGTTTTTATGTAAATAAAATTGAGAATGGAAATAGGGAATGTGTCAAAGAGACAATAAAGACCATTTAAATTTTCCTGACAGGTTTTGTACACTATGTCCTTTAAGTCTTGTGGAGAAAAAAGTAAAATAACAAAAATATCGAACTCCAAGGAAAATTCATTAAGGAGGTTACTCCTTAAACATGTATCGTACTCATGGAATAAGATATCATACGAGTATTATATTATTTTCTAAAGCTGTTATTTACATATACTCAACAACTAAATAACGCAACACATCTTCCCATCTACAGTAGTTTCAGAATTTCGTGTTTTTGCTAAATATTGGTTATAAAATATATAGTGTATTTTAATCATATTGACCTTGACATTAGTCCACATATTTACAGAGAAATTTTAGTTATTAGGAATTTCATCCAAAACAGTGAAAAATCAAAAGTCTGAGATTTTGATAAATAATTTCAAACTAAATTGGTCATTAAAATAAAAGTCATTAAAAAACAAATATGACAGTCATTTTCCTAATTTGCTAGTGAAAAAAAAACAAACCAAAAAACTTGCGATTTCAGTTTTCACTAATTTGGAAACATTTTCGTTCTTTTTACAGAATTAGACCAGTACAATTTTTAATCATTTCAATCACTTTTTTAAAAAGTAATATGCAATAGTAATGTTCATTCCAAAGACATTAATGGCATTGGTGCGTTTATTCAATTGTATAGTATATCATTGTAACACTTATGATTTACTTTCAAATTGACTTTTGCTTTCAATTTCAATAAACTACTTGGAAAAGGTTCTGGGGTATTTATTTGTTTGTATTATTTTTCTTATAATCTTCATAATTTTAATGTTTTTGTTTGTTTGTTTGTTTGTTTGATTCTATTTATTAACAGATTTTATATTTTGCAACTCGTGGTCATAAATTATATCAATAATTGTAATGAACGACAAAACAATTAATTGATTGATGGGTAAAGATGTTTATCATATTTTAAATTAGAATTTGAGCGACACTGATAGATAATGTTGATTATTGCAAGACAGTCAATATTATTATCAATATAACTTTGTAGAATCTACGTCGACGTCGTTTTAAACCATATGACTGAACCCAACTTACATGGTAAAGGCATTGCAGGTTCAACTTTCAACTCAACAACTCTTGACTTTCCTGCTGTACCATACAACAGATCGCATTTCAATGCTCCAAGCAAGTGTCCATCACGGGATGGAAAGATCCACAGTTATAACCAACCTGATGAAATCCGAAATTGTTATTTAGACAAATTACCAGACTTAGATCAAAGTCAACCATTTGTTCGCAGTAAGATTGTTCATTTGCTGGATCACTTGATAGATTTAGGAGTGTCCGGGTTCAGAGTTGATCGCGCTAAGTTTATGCATCCGGAAGACATTTTAGCCATAGAGAAACTTACAAGAAATCTCACAGATGGCGGAAAGCCTTTCTTTTTCAATCACGTAGAAGATTACAACCAGGATTCAATCAAAAGTAGCGAGTACTATCAGAATGGACGCGTCACAGAGTTTCAATATTGTAGAAAACTGGCTGCAGGAATTAATAATTTCACATTATTAAATGACCTTAAAGGTCCTTCATCAGGAATGGCTGACTCACCACATGCCCTTGTTTTCGTTGATAACCATGACAACCAAAGATCCGATATAAGTAATGTTTTAACTCATAGAACACCGCGTGAGTATAAAATGGCAAATGCATTCATGTTGGCGAATGATTATGGATTCACTCGAATAATGAGTAGCTATTATTTTGGCGACGATACACAATTAAGTCCACCACAATATACGAATAATAGTATGAAAGATCCCATTACATCTATTAAACAACAAGGTACATGCGGACATGGTTGGGTATGTGAGCACAGATGGCCTTCAATAGCTAACATGGTAGTTTTCCGCAATGCTGTAGAAGGAACGGGGAAAAGACATTGGAGAAACCAAAACAATCAACTGTCATTTGCACGTGGTACAAAAGGATTTTTCGCCATGGCCAAAAACGGTAAAATGAACGAAACTTTAGATATAGGACTTCCGGCAGGAGAGTACTGTGACCTTATTACTGATTGTAGAAAAACAGTAACTGTGACTAAAAATGGATATGCACGAATTGAGATTGACAGCGCTGATAGACCAATACTAGCGTTTATTGTAGGTATGTCTATTTCAAAAGTATTAAAAAGACAATATTTATAACAGTTACATTTTTGTACTATACATAGTAACAAGTTGCTTTTAGTCCGTGGACTACGTTAATGTAAAAATTAGAAAAAAACATGTTTCTAACTATTGAAATTATCTCTTATTATTGGTTATCAATTGAATATGTACATGTACATGTGTATACTGAGTCTTCTGTAAAAAAAGAAATCACAGAGAGCCAAGTTCTATTTTTAAGATATATTTACCACATATTTCGAACCATACAGATATGCTTGAAAAGTCTATTTTGCATGTTTGTTATTATTTATATTATTTTTATAATTATCATCTCCCCTTTACCAAAAAAAAAAAAAATGAGACTGAAATAAACAAAATGTAAAAAAAGGAATTCCATACTAAGGGGACTTTTAAACACCATAAGTCGAGTAAGAACGGACTACACCTTGTTCAAAATGAAAATTGACGAAACAAAAAAATGTTACAATACACAGAAAACTAATATTTAAACAAAATTGGAAGTGAACGAAGGTGCTCCAGAAAGTGATTTCTTCGAATATTAAAGATGCATTATATATACCCCCTACTACATGAATCAGTGTTTCCCTCGTAATGCGATTTCAATTAATATCAAATGAAAATGTCACCGTCTAATCGATCAATGGACCGGAAGTTGGGCAATATGTATTTTCATGTTATATTATTATAATTGTATATGAAAACTTTGCAATAACTACAAAATGTGAAGTTTTATGCATTTGACACAGCCGAAAAGTTCATGACCTTCATAGTGTGTCGAAGCAAAGAAAATATACAAGTTACATGTATGTTAAATAAAAGTGATAGAATTTATCGGATGGTATGTGTACGGGTAATGCGATGGAAACAACAGTTTTAATTTGTTTTTAAAGCTAGTCAGGTCACGCGTATTAAATTCTGGCGCATTATAACGCTGTATGACGTCTGTTATAGGTAAGACCCCGTCATGTTTGTTCAGGTTAGGTCTACCACTTTTGACATTAACTGCGATAATGAATATACGGAGGACTCCAACACGGTAATAGTCACATCAAAGCATTAAGATGTTTCATAATTGAATTGATATATTGAACTACTGTATATTGAGTTTAAAAATTTTGTACTTTATTTTTGTAGATGGTCCACTTGCAAATCCAGAAACGCATTTTGGATTGCATAAAGGAAATGTAATAGGCAATGTTATAAGCGGAGGCAGTCTCAGTAGAAGTACAACTCAAAGAGAAACAACGACGGTACCAGTCTTATCGACTGTTGCAGCTAATATTTCTACTACAGAAGCAGAGATTGATACAACGTCACGTGTTATGACAATGAGCTCTCCCACAACTACTGCTAGAGAAACTACCACTACCATGATATCTAGTTCTGCGACTACAGTGCGAACTTCTACTTCTTCACCAAAGTGTGATGACACTAGGAGGACTGTTATTTTCTTTCAAGAGTACACTGTGTCTGGACAATACTTGTTCATTCGAGGTGGTATAGATGATCGTCACAGATCAGGTATTTCGCATAGAAGTATCTTTTTGAACAGTCAATCAATAACAAATATTAATTTTGGTTTTTATCATAAGGGGACAACCATTTGATTTTTTTATGAGGGAAAGAATAATTTTGAAAATGAATATCCTGGCTTGGACCCCGGAAATACACAAGCACGCTTAGCAAGAGATCTAACATAATGTTCAATCCGCAACACAATCACCCTGTGGTATACTCCCTTTATGTCGACACACGGCTATACAAATATGTGGAAGGGGTTTTAATTTTTGTATTATTTATTTTATTAGGCAAGTTTTCTAATTTCGCTGCATTTGTTCCCAATAACTCCATATTCCTTGTATTGTAAATGTAGTTCCTCATTATTCTATATTTTATAAGCGTTTGGCAAAAGGAGAAGGTCCGTTTAGGGCTCGTTTTGACCTAATATTCGAAGTACGTCTTATGAAAAATTTTTGACATTTTTTAAACACGTAAGTGTCTACTTCAGTCGATTCAATTAGTGTATGTAAAAGATTTGGACTGATTTGGTCATTAAAGACTCCCAAATAGAGGCTTTAATACGAAAATCTATCAAATATGCCATAAAACGTCACTTTTCAAATGGTTTTTGTCTAAAATGAAAGTGGCCGCATTCGTGTTCAGTCTCAACCTTTATATATGTTATGTATTATCATCAAATACAACATATATTTAAATATTAAGAATGAACACAAATGCGGCCACTTCCATTTTAGACAAAAACCACCTTAAAATTAGCACGGATGCTAAAATTGTGAAGATTTTAGTAATATTGCATGAATTTATGATGTTATTACCCTATGCATGTGCATTGTATTGTCAAAATAAGCCCAGATTAATGGAACAGAATATTCTTCTTTCCAATAAAAATCTTAAAGTTTACATTTTAACAAATTTGTAAAATTGCTATATTTTGTGGCCAAAAAGGGGTCTTACCTTTGTCCACTCTTTCTTTTTTACTCTATTTTTTAAACCTATTATAGACAGTCTCAATAGAATAAAAATCAAAGAGAGGATTTCTTTCATAGGATCGCTACCTAGTATACACAAATGACGTATGTATGCAGCAGTTAAACTAAGCAGCAACCTTACCGAAACAGAGATATTTTATTCGCAGTTATATCTTGCATAAGACATGCTTAGGCATTACACCATTTTAGTTAAAGCAGTTGCTAACATCTGAATATGAATTAACTCAAAATTGCTGATTTTGACAGCTTGCAGTTTTTTTGTTCCATAAATGCAAGACGTTTGAAGACTCAAATGAATTAAAGTTAAATGAATATTAAAAGCTGACAAACTTATTTTTCTTATGTTGTGCTGTTACACCACTATCCTAGCTTCCACAAAGACGTTTAAATCTCCCGCTCTCTGTCTGGGAATGTCCCGAGTCAGGAACCTGTGAATAAGACTGTGTGTTTTTCATTTGTTTCTGTATATCGTATTTGTTTTTCGTTTCTTGGTCTTTGTTTTTATCGTTTGAAATGTTTTACATTTTGTCATGTTGTGGCCTTTTATAGTTTCTTATGCGGTATGAGATTTTTGTTAACGCATATAAACGTTTTATTCCTAAATATTTCCTGATACAATTACCTTAGTTGTCCAGGTAAAAGGTATGGGTATGGGATTTTCTCATTGTTGAAGGCCGTACGGTGACCTGTAGCTGCCAACATCTACGTCATTTGGTGTATGATTGATAGTTGCCTAATTTGCAACCATGTCAGATCTTCTTTTTTTTAATTAAACTTCGTGTAACTAGAGGCTCTCAATAGCTTGTGTCGCTTAACTGGATCTTCAACAATGGCCACTTTTGGTAAGAAATCAACACGAAAGGGCAATAATAAAGTTAATTTCAGTCATGTTGACATATTTGTAGATATCTTGTCATATGCAAATTTTTGCAGTTGAAAGTTTCTACCTATCTTTGTAACTATTATACCTTTCAAGATAATAGGCCAAAACTCCAAAATAATGTTAAAATCATCTTTAAATTGCGAGTTGACTAAAGATTACAGACATATTGCTTATTTGTAGATCTGGTCTTGTTGGTCATTTTGGCTCTTTCAAGTTTTTATCTTATATTATTTAAGATATTAGCAAAGACGATTAAAAATACCCAATGGTAAAAAATCATTTTTAAAGAGTAATAACTCAAAACACTAAGTCCTATAAGAAGTCGTCTGGCAGTTTTGACGTTAATGGATCTCATCATTCTGAACATTTCTACGTACGACGGGCGACGACGACGGACGACGGATGCCAAGTGATAAGAAAAGCTCACTTGGCCTTTCGGCCAGGTCAGCTAGAACTCAGAATTTTTATAGGCAAAACAAGTGACCTTCTCTATTATACAGGAATAGTTATCCTTTTTTATTGAAAATTATTTTATAGGTTGCAAAGATAATCCTGTTGCATCAATCAGTAATTGTTCAATACCAATACAAAGCCACGATCTTGGATCAAGCGGGCATTATGACGCGTATAATGCATGGCGAAAAGGAGACAAATTCTTGGATTGGTATGGACCTGAGCCAGGTCAAGGTAGCTTCCAAGGAAACGGCGCCCGAGGAACGCCTGCTGTCTGGACCACTAACAACCCAAATGATGGTAGATACAACAAACTTAATAAGTGAGCTTTATTTATAAAAACTGTCTTAATGGAAGCATTTTCGCCTTGAGTGCGGGAGATGATCGGTTCGATCTCGTAACGATGTTAAATGTTTATTTGCGACAAATAGGAATAAGAGAAAAAACTGGTCGGTTCGGACTCATACACTGTATCCAGGTAATATAACAAAACGAAAAGTTATTTTTTCGACCTAATCCGAAAAAAAAAACCTATGCATAGGTTGGGTCCAGTTGTTTTTAATGCAAACAAAACATATGTTATTTCTTTTAATATATATGTAAGAGTAAATGCTATGACCAGCCTCAAATCTGTGTCCTTCCCTCAAACATGAGTTCCATCCGAAATTGCGCCATAGACTTCACAAATCCATATCCTTTCCTTTCTCAAATATATTACTTTTCAACAAGTCAAGTCCTGTCATATTTGAACATTACAAACCATGCATTTTATGTTTAAGCTTTATTGTATTCAGATTTGGTGAACATTATTGGTTTGTGGACATTGATATGGATTGCTGCAAGACCATAAATGGTTGGTTCGAAGTAAAAGCTTATATGGGCTATCATGATAATGGAAACTGGGAAGGTAACATATTTCAAGGATATAATCCTTGCAACGGAACCGAACGAACACCGTACGAAAACGTTAATCACTGGGCTAAATGTGGAATGATGAACGTCTTTCATTTCAATCAAAAGGCATGTCAAACATATTCATTAAATTGATCTTTTAAGAAATTTCTTATTTTATTCTGAAAGAGTTTAGTCTTGGAACAGCTGCTATGGAACAAGGTAAATTTGTGTATTTATATTGTTACGGCCAGAAATCACCTTTAAATAGTAGCCAACAAAAGACACAAATCAATAATAAAATTTAACAAGATTTATTATACACAAGTTTACAAGAAGTATTACACAAATAGAAATGTCAACTTAACAGTCGAAATATATGAACGATCTTTTGTCTTTTCTTTATCCGGAATTCTTCTTTTCACTGTTGCGGGAATCCAAACAGAATAATTATTATGTCTAATAAGTCACAATCTAGTATGATGTAGTAAACGTAAATAAAAGTGTCAATCCAACTGAGAGAACTTCTGAGAATACCAGTTTATTGATGTTTAATCTGAGAGTCTAACTTAAGTGTCTGTATATATATAGTTGTCAGGGAAACTTCTAGAATACTGTAGAAAGGTAACTCCTAGAAAACTAAAGAACGGAAACTTCTAGAACATTGTTAGAAGATTAAATTACGCATCTTTTATTATGACATTCTTGAATCGTTATGTAAGTCATATGAAAAGGTCTAATCATTCCATCAGTCGCTATGATTGTTCCAGTGATTTCTAAACTTCTCAATATAATATTTTTTTGTAAACAACTATACATGTTATACATGTTATAAGGCCACACAAAACAAATTAGGCCAACAAAATAAACATGATAGTCACAATATCAGGACACCTCCCCCTCTAAAAAATGTGTGAGTGTAACAAGAACTTAAAGGCCAACTTAATAAACATGATAGTCACAATATCATGAAACCTCCCCCCTCTAAAAAAGGGTTGAGTGTAACAAGAACTTTTCATGAACAATATATACAAAAATACATAGTATGTATACAGTGTTTTAATAAGATCTAGATAAAGCATCTGTTATTACATTATCTTTACCTTTAATATGTTTTACAATAACATCATATTCCTGTAACAATAAACTCCACCTGGTCAACCTCTGGTTCTTGTCTATCGTTTTATGTATGAAGGTGAGAGGATTATTATCAGTATACAAAAGAAAAGGATGCATAGTGGGATTTAAATATACATCAAATTGTTTAAGTGCAGACAACAGTGCAAAACACTGTTTTTCAATCGTTGAATATTTTTTCTGATATTTATCTAATTTCTTAGAAAAATATGATATAGGTTTCTCAACATTATCATCTGTTTCTTGATCTAAAACGGCTCCAACTCCTACATCACTTAAACAACGGCAAGTCTGAATTATTTTTCAAAGTGTGGAGTGCTCAGAACTGGACTATTAATTAAAAGTGATTTGCTATTTTCAAAAGCGTTTTGACAATTATCACTCAAGATGAATTTAGAATCTTTCCGTACAAGATGAGTCAATGGTTGAACAACAGTAGCAAAATTTGAACAAAATTTTTTGTAAAATCCAATCATGCCTAAATATCTCATAAGTTGTTTTTTTATTTATAGGAAGAGGACATTTGGTAATTGCATTCACTTTAGCCATAATAGGTTTCATTTGACCTTGGCCAACTGTATGCCCTAAATAATCAACAGTGGCCTGACAAAATTGACTTTCAACAAGATTAACGGTAAAATTTGATTGTGACAATCTATCAAACGTATCATATAAATGTGTTAAAAGATCTTTCCAGCTATCAATACATACAATAAGATCATCAATATAAGCATAACAACAGTCTAAATCTTTGAAACGTAGCTGGAGCATGACAGTATATTGAAATAAGCTGTCTGGTGTGACAAAAGCTGATATTTCACGAGCTCTCTGTGTCAATGGTACTTGCCAGTAACCTTTCAATAAATCAAATTTGCTCACAAATTATGCTTGCCCAATATTATCAATGCAGTCGTTTATCCTTGGAATCGGATAGGAATCAGATTTTGAAACTGAATTTACTTTTCTGAAATCAGTTACGAAACGAAAGGTTTTATTTGGTTTTGGCACAAGAAGACAAGGAGAGCTCCATTCACTGTTACTCGGATCAATAACATCATTGTCAAGCATATATTTGATTTCTTGTCTCATAAATTCAAATTTGAGTGGATTGACCCGGTAAGGATGTTGTTTAATTGGAGAAGCATCACCTACATTGACACCATGACAAACAGCAGTGGTTTTGTTTGGCACATTTGGAAAAAAAAAATTTAAAAGAAAATACCAACGTTTTCAATTTTTCTCTGCGATCGGAAGTCATATGTGCAAGTTTTGAGTCTACATTTGATAAAATTTCTGAATTTTTAAATCTTACTGTCTCTTCCATAGTCTTAGAATCAAAAGGTGGTTCAATTATATCTGGTTTGTCATGTTCCTTCTCCAATTTAACCATGGCTAAAGTGGCAACTGGTTTACTCTCACCTTCATTAGTACGCTCAAAATATGGTTTTAGCATATTAATATGACACACCCTATTTTGTTTGCGCCGACCTGGTGTTTTGACAATATAATTCAAATCATTAATTTTACTCTCTATGGTATAAGGACCACAGTATTAAGCCTGTAAAGGATGTCCAGGGACTGGCAAAAATATAAGTACTATGTCACCAGGCTCAAAAACTCTGTCTCTGGCATCTTTATCATATCATATTTTCATCTTATTCTGAACAGTTTTTAAGTTTTTCTGAGCAATTTGACAAGCAGTACACATTTTTTCTTTAAATCTGGATACATAGTCTAGAAGATTCAAGTCAGTGTGTTCAGTAAGCCATTTTTCCTTAACCAATTTCAAAGGTCCCCTTACAGTATGACCAAATACCAATTCAAAGGGACTAAAACCAAGGGATTCTTGAACAGCCTCTCGGACCGCAAAAAGTAGAAAGTGAACACCATCATCCCAACCCTGTCAAATTGAACACAAAATGTTCTAAGCATGTTCTTCAATGTTTAATGAAAACGTTCTAAGGCACCTTGAGATTCTGGATGATAAGCACTTGACCTATACTGAGCAATCCATAACTGGTAAACGCCTTGCATGAAATTTGAACCCTGGTCGGATTGTATAGACTTAGTAAATCCTACTAACGTAGAAAATTTGATAAGAGTCTTGACAATAGTTGGTGTTTTGATATTCCTTAACGGAATAGTCTCAAGAAAGTGAGTGGATATACACATGATCGTCAATAAATACGCATTTCCAATCTTGGTCTTCGGTAAAGGTCCAACGCAATCAATGAGTACTCGGCTGAAAGGTTCCTCAAAGGCTGGAATTGGCAGAAATGGTGCTGGTAGTATTTTTTGGTTGGGCTTACTAACAATCTGGCATATATGGCATGATTTGCAGTATTCTGCGACATCATTTCTAAGTCTGGGCCAGTAGAAATGCTGCAAAATCTTAAGGGAAGTCTTCCTTATACCTAAGTGTCCAGCCAAGGGGTGTCATGGGCAAGACCAATAATTTCTTGCTTATAAACTTTAGGCACCACCACTTGGTATACCACTCTCCATTCCTCCTCTGGGATAGCATCAGGGGGCCTCCACTTCCTCATTAAAATGCCGTCTTGATGGTAATAGCATTCGGCCACTTTGTCTGCTTCCTCCTGTGGTTGAGCCCTTTTGCGGAGCTGTAGAACCTCAGAGTCTTTATTTTGTTCTTCAACAAATTTCCTTCGGTCTAATGAATGGCTGTTCACGTCAGGCCATGGCATAATTACATTCTTGTTAGTACTAGGTGGTCTTACTATGACCCTCTCTGATCTACCGGGACCTTCAATGTCGACAGGGAAAGTGTCAAAAAGGTCCATGTAATCAAACTAGTCTTCTTGCAAATCCTCATTTTGCTGTTTTCTTCCATCGTCCTAGTAACAACACAAGCTGGATACAGTTCAGCATCATCTTCCGGTGATATAACATCCACAACCGGTATAACTAGACTGACTCTTATTCTGTGCAACATGCTTACTATCAGTACGCTCAGTACTTTGATTTTTGTAATTTCCACTCGAAGTATTAAAAGTTTGACCTTTGAAACTTCTTTTATGTGAAAGGGTATAATTATCGGAAATAACAGCTGCACCTTGTAATGTCTTAACAGTTTTGTCATCTAAATGAACACACTGCTTGAACTCTTCTAATAACATCAATTTTCTTAAGTTATCAAAATGTTTTTCTTTTTTCTTTGACGTAAGCCATTTATCAAATAGATCTTCTTTTTCCCTAGCAAATTAAACATAGGTTTGTGAATCAAACTTTTTATAAGACCTAAATTTATGTCTATATGCTTCTGGCACTAGCTCATAAGCTTTCAAACCTTCCTGTTTTACCGTATCATAATCAGAACTATTTTCTGATAAAAGTGCTGAGTAAATTTCAGCGGCCTTGCTCTCAAAAACACTTTGCAGCATTGTAGTCCAAAAAGAATTCGACCATTTCAAATTTTGAGCAATTTTCTCAAACTGTGGAAAAAATTTATCAACTGTTTTTTTCACAAAATTTGGGAACCAAACGTATATATTTTGCTGCATCAAACTGTTTTGATTTTGACTGTACATAAGTGTTGCTTTCTACTTTGACCATTTCAATTTTTATTTTCTCCATCTCTAACCTTTCCCTCATTTCAAGGTCTGCCTGTTTTAATTTAAATTCATCTTTTTCTTTTTCCAATTGTTTTATTTTAACTTCGTTTTCCAATTCTTTTTCCAAATGTTTTAATTTAGATTCATGTTCTAATTCAAGCTGTTTAATTTGAAAGCATCAACATTTTCTACCTTAAGTTCAAGAGCCTCTTCACCTAAAATTTCTGCGTCAACTAATTTGTCTATTTCCAAATGTTTTATAATTTGTTTTCTCATAGATCCTCTAAAATTAATTTTTAGATGTTTAGCAAACAACACTGATTCCTTTTTCTTTAAGTTATCAAACCCTTCCAGGTCTGGCGTTTTCAAAAATTTACCAGCATTAAATGCCATTTTGTAGAATTTTATTGGCTAATTCTAATTCTATAAATACAGAAAAATTTAATC